CAACACCAATTCTATTTTCTTTATAAAACAAACAATTTTACAAATTACATTAGCCACTATGTCTCTTTCCCATAATAACTTCGAAAAAAAATCTCCTGAACCTTTTATTCTTTATTCTAGTTTGAAAACTGAATAGATTTTCGAGAGGCTCACGAAATATCAAACATCATTTATTTTGTCATCTTGTAATAATTATAATAATTAACTAACAGTGACACAAGACAACTTGATGGATCGTAGGAGTAAAAAACTGTTAATGAAGACCGTGTCCCTTGGAAGAGAGAAGAGGGCAGAAGAATCTTAGGATGCATCACGCTCTTACGTCTTCTCTTTCAGCATTTTTCTGATCACCGACCCTCTCCATTCAATACATTTATATTTTAAATTCATTTCGTTAAATTAATCATTTAAGTTGAAGACAGTTGAAGACGGTCGTTTGAATTAACAGTCTTCTTTGGGCTTCCAGTTGAATAGTATTTCCCGTATTTTTAGAGTTTACATAGAAATTCTTTGACCCGCAGAAAATATCTCTTGTTATTACGGTTATATTAGAAACCAAAAATATGTTTAACAGCAAATTTGTGGCATAATAGTATTTTAGGATCCTCAGTTATCCACTTTTTTCCAAAACTTCTGCTTATGATCAAAGTAAATTTGCGTTGTCATCAACTTTTTAGCTATAAAAAGTAGAGCCACTCGTTGGGAGTGATGATTTTTTTTGTTGTTGTATTTTTAACGTTTTACTACTATCGATCACGAGAAACTTCATGAAACAATGATATTTTTCAGAAAGAACGATGTATTCATGTTCATATGTGGTGATTAGTCTGCATGCAGTAGTGATCAACTGATCATAGTGATCGGTAACCTACTAAACCAAAAAAAAGTTATGGGTATGCTCTCTTAGACTATCACATTCCAATAAATAAAAGTACAGACGTAAGTAATGGATCGTCGGAAATTAAAAAAAAAACCATTAATAATTTATGAATCTAGCGAGATTGGGGACAAGTTCTATTTAGATCACCGACATCAACACTGATCATATCTATACCATATGCAACCCATATTATCTGTCATATTGCACGAATCCTACAAATAAACAATTAAGAACACGATATAATATTGGTTTTTATCATTCAAAGAAATAGTATAATATGAACCAAAAAAATAATAATAACGTGAACATGTACGGCACATTGGCCGACTTAACATAGACAAAGGCGGCATGGGTTCACGTGAAAGCCGACCTTTCAAAAAAATCTTAAGCTCTTTAAAGATTCAATCCCCAAAACTATAACCAATCTCTTTCCAGTCTTCACCATCTTTTTCTCTCTAATTTCACTATTCTCGTCGTCCCATATAAATACAAAGCCTACACATTTTCACTCTTCAAACATCTCTTACAGAGCAGAAACAGAGTCGCCAGAAAAGTAATCTCCGGCGACACAAAAACACAATAAAAGTTTATAAATTTAGATTCTGGTGACTCTCTGCTCTAATGGGTCCATCTCAAATATCTCTCTTTCTTCTTCTAATTCTTGCTCTTATCTATGGCGTTTCCTCCACCACTTTCACCGTCCTTAATCAGTGCAGCTACACCGTCTGGCCTGGCCTTCTCTCCGGCGCCGGAACCGCTCCTTTACCGACAACCGGATTCCCCCTAAACCCGACCGAGACACGTGTCATCCCAATCCCGGCTGCTTGGTCCGGTCGTATTTGGGGCCGTACGCTCTGCACACAAGACGCAACCACCGGGAAATTCACTTGTGTTACCGGAGATTGCGGTTCCTCCTCCGTCGAATGCTCCGGTTCCGGCGCCGCACCTCCAGCTACGCTCGCCGAATTCACCTTAAACGGAGCCGGTGGTCTCGATTTCTACGACGTCAGTCTCGTCGACGGTTACAACATTCCTATGACAATCGTTCCTCAGGGCGGCAATGATTCCGGTGGAGTCGCCGGGAACTGCACAGTCACCGGCTGCGTCGCGGAGCTCAACGGTCCATGTCCCGCTCAGCTGAAAGTGGCGACGACGGGGACTGAAGGAGTGGCTTGCAAAAGCGCGTGTGAGGCGTTTGGGACGCCGGAGTATTGCTGTAGCGGCGCGTTTGGAACGCCGGACACGTGTAAGCCGAGTGAGTACTCGCTGTTTTTCAAAAACGCGTGTCCGAGAGCTTATAGCTACGCTTATGACGACGGAACAAGTACTTTTACTTGCGCCGGAGCTGATTACGTCATCACTTTCTGTCCTTCTCCTAGCCCAAGGTAACATTTCTTCTATTTTCATTATTTTCTACAAAAATAAAAAAATTACTACTAAAAGTTATGATTGTCTTCAAGTGGAAACACGAATTAGAATATTTGAAAGATCAAATTGGCATTATTTTTTTTTGCAAATTAAAAGGTTTGATTCCGACTTCGGATGATCCCATCAAATGAGTTAAAGAAAAAAAAAAAAGGAAATGTTTGGTTCTGATTCTCTTAGAAGAGGCCCGGTTTCGATTTTTTTGTTCACATTCAAGGTTCAATTATTGTGTTTATGACTGGAGATATGAATAGTTCACCTCTTTTTTGTTGTTGTGAGGTCAAATTACCGAATAAAAATCATGACACAATGCTTTTCAGAATGCACCGTGTTCCTTTGTCAACTTGTGAAATCATAAGACAAGACGACATTTTCATTTTTCACCCGTTGATACTATAATATAAACATAACAAATCTTATTATATAAAATAAATTTAGAATATCTAATATTCTCTGTTGTATCCTTAGATTTTTTCTTTCAAACGTCGGTGTTCTGTGGCCATGTGCGGTCCAACACGGCTCTTTTGTTCATCTGACAATGCTAAATATATGTATATATATATAGGCTTATTGTAATATATATGTATATATATATATATGCTAATTGTGTATGAAAGGGTTATTTTTATAAAGAAAAATTGTTAAACATATATTAAATTGTTTTTCTTGTAATTTGTCTCAGTGTGAAGAGTGCATCGAAGGGAGCAGGACTTCAGCCCGAAGCCGTAAGCTACTCCGCGGCATCTCCAAACGCATCGCCAATTCTCTCTGCCGTGTTTTTGATGGGCGTTTTGGCCGTTGCATCTTGGGTGGTGCAAAGCGTTTGGTGATAGCTTTATGGCGCCGTTTTTCAAGTTTTTAGAACATCATTCCAGATTTTTCAGCTAGAGAAAGAAACAAGCCAAACGACCATCAGAGGAAGACAAACAAAAAAAGGACCACAGAGTGTTTGATTAGTCGAAGAGAAGATTGTTCGAGGTGATCATTTTTGTAACAACTTTGTGGATTCCCAAAGTGATAAGATGATCAATTTAGTTTAAGATTTTATATTAGTTATAATTTAGTTATTAGTTTCTTCCAGTTTTTTTAGACAAATGCTGTCTTTAGCTTTATATAGGAAGCATCTATAACAAGTTTTACTTGGAGGAATTGATTGATTGGTAATGCGTTTTTTTTTTTTAACAAAAAAAATTGACTCATACTTTTTAAACTAGAAAATGTATGTTAAAAGAATAGGTTCGTAATAAGAATCTGTATTCTATTTGTTAGATAAAGAAACAACTGTGTATTGAATTCTTTATTGGATATTTGGATTGGTATGGACGATCTACAGTAAAAACAAACTATCGTGTTTTAAAGAGAAAACAACGCTACATTAAAATAAATTTTGGAGACTCATAAGTTCGACAATTTACGTCGAAAATCTTTAAAAATTGGCGGGTAATCATAGTTTTAGGTATATATTTAATATGAATATAATAAAAAAACACAGAAAAAGCAGAATCAGTTGTAGAGGAAAACAAATTACGACCTTATGATTGAAGACTCTCCTCTCTCTCTCTCTTTCACTCACTCACACGGTCACACCAATTCACTTCTTTCTAGATTCTGTGATTTCTCAATCTTCTTGTCTCCTCCCATGGCTATATTCTGTCTCCATCTCCATCCTTACGCCTCTGTTCTTGGATTTATCATCTCGTTGCTCCATGATGGTGAGCGATTCTGCTTCCTGCAACATTGAATTTCTGTTGAATTAGCAATAGCATGTACCTTTGGTTTCTGCGAAGAATATGGGGAAAAAAAAAAGAGAACCAGAAACAGAGAGGGAACAAGAAATTGAAAAACTTCTAATTTACTCAATAGTGAAGTTAAAGCTTGTAACTTTGAGGGAAAAAGTCAATTGAAATATTTAGATTCGCCTTCTTGTATCAATTCTGATGAGCTACATAAATTCAAGAAATTAAAAGTTCTGAAACCAATGTGCACAAAAAACATGTTTTTCAAAAAAAAGGTTTCATAATGGCTCCAATCATACTGAGAATCGCATTTAGACACATACACACAAACAAAAGATTCTTCTTGATAAAAAGACCGATCAGGGTCCATTCCATTTCAAATGATTCCTGTGTCATCTCTATTGTTTCCCAAACGGTTATTATTAATTAAATCATTCGTGTGAAAAAGTCTATTTTCAACACAAGAAAAAACAGAGAAGACAACTAGAAATCAGATTCAAAAAGCCGGATATAGAATAAAGATTAGGTCGATGTATTTCATCGATGGCAGCACACTTGATCAAGAATCTTATAGCTTTTCTTATTTATATTGTTCTATATCTTCCCTTTAGATTAACGGCTTTGCCTAACTCGTGTGTATTTGTGGTGTGGACCTCTGTTTTTCTAAAAGGGAAGATAAGAGTATCTTACAGAGAGTCAAAAGGTTTCAACTTTCAAGTCCACCCACTGAATATTATATCCATAAAAGCAAACACAGAGAATGTTAAACAAAGCTTGAGAGATTGGGTATACCTGCGTTTACTTATTCGCCGTCCATAGCCGTAAAGGTGAAATAGTCTTGACTAATTATGATTAGTAATTTGAATAAGTAAAGGATAGCAGTGGTTCTTGTCATAGTTAGGCCAAGATTCGTCTCCTTTCACAAGCGTCTCGTGGCACCTCCAAACTTGTGCATCGTAGTTCTCGGTTAAGATGTAATGTAAACCAATGTCTTCAACCTCCTTCAGAAACTTGTCTAAAGAGCCACCTCTCTTAGGACTGAAGAATAATGCCTCAGAGGGTTCGTTGGCTTTAAGCAGCACCTTGATGATACTTGCGAGGTGCTTATGAAATTCCTTGAAAAAGGTACTGTTGAATCAAAACACAAAAGAGTAGTGACAAGGGATGAGAAATCGATATAGCGGAAGACTGAAATAGAGAGCAAGGAATGAGAAAGCTACCAATCGCTCGCAACTATGATGTCAAAAGTGTTGGTTAACTCTGAAAGTTCATGCTGATTCCAGTGCAACTCCATGGCTTTTACACTTGTGTTGCCAAATGCCATGGAGTTTGATTCTATGTTACGCTTAATATCTGGATTTTAAAGGGCATCAATGAATCCAAAAAAAAAAAAAAAACTATTCCGGTCATCTCAAAGCTTCAACCAAAGAAGACAACTCTAATGCAAACAGTGTATATACACAACAAAACAAGAAGGATACAATTGACTACTTGGGGATTTCCATCTGAGATTACCACTTCTGATGCCTCAGTGACAGCTGCGATAACTAAACCGGCTAATCCATACCCAGATCCAAGCTCAATTACTCTTTTATCTCTGCAACATTCCAATGAGGCAAGTACAATGTAAGAGGAAGAGGTTATAAGAAAAGAAACATAGATCAGTCTTAAAACTGAGAATAGAAACCTGAAACGATCTGGATGAGACTTGCAAAAGTATGCTAGAGCTTCTTCTGAGGGCCATTGACCTGGAAGAATGACAGTAGCAAAACTTATGAATTCAGAGAATCACGATCCAAATAACATTTGAGATCCGCAGGCAACTCAATGTGTTTGGTACATAACGATTCAAAGCTTGGTTAAAATATGAAATATGTCATTTAAGTTTCTACTCAGCCAGAATTCGAACCAAATGTGCAAATCTGATCACATAGCAGAGATGGGTTGTCTTCAAACCAACAAAGACAATGAGATCGAGAGCTTACAGACAAGTCCTGTATTATCAATGTTGTATCGATTAGATATCTCAAAGTCATTGAGATCACTGCAATTATCCACTCTTTGTCTGCAGAAATTTATATATAAAAAAAAAAGAGAGCTCTTTTAGAAGTGGGAAGATAAGAATAAGCAGTGACAGTGTTAAATCCGTTGAAATGTGCTTGATAGCGAGATTACTAACGTTAGATAGAGTTTCGGAGAAGCAGGGATGGGAATTGTGTAGCAAACGCGTGCTTCCCGAGAATTTCCCGATGCCGGAGAAGAATCCACCACCTGACACGGAATCAAGTTGAATCCTTGAGTTGGTTTCCTTGAAATCCGCTTGATCCCAGATTGAGATTGAGAATCTGAGGAAAATTGAGAGATGATATATTAGCTATAAGGTGTGAAGTCGAGGAAGAAGAAGAAGAAGAAGAAAAGGGGAATTTCCACCAGATCTACGGAGAAGCGCTTGGCGAAGAATTCGCCATCTAAGCGAGGAAGAAGAAGAAGAAGAAGAAGAAGAAGAAGAAGTGGGATTCATGGAAGAAGTCCTCCGCTCAGCAAACAAGCGACGACTGTTTCCCTTCGGAATCCGCTAACGAGGAGAGAGTCTTTTACACAAATTTGCGATGTTTTTTAGTTTTCCGGCGAAATTAATTTTGCTTTGTTAGCATTTTTTTTTACATCAAGTAGTGTAACATTTTCTAAAACAGATTTTCAGGATCCATAATCAATCAGTACACAGGTTATGATCAGTACACATGTTAATAATATCGCAATTTGATGACTTTTTGTGAATTAATATTCAAATTGACAGGGTTTAATTGAGCCGGACCGAATTGAACCCGACCGATTAAGCCAACCACAACATCTTCAAACAAAACCATGCTCTAATTTCGGATACAAAAGGTTTCGGATAGAAAGTCTTATAGGGACAATTGTTTGCAAAATGTGTCCTAAATTTACAATTTTCCCATAAATTATTGTACGCTAACTTCAATAATTAATTTTATAAGTTGAAAACTAAGCATTTTATATTCTTTTGCAACTGAAATATAGGAGAACATATGAATTTAATTAATCGATGATGCAGGCGAAGGAGTTGGAGCATTGGTTTTGCATTTACAGGTTCCACTATCGCATATGCAATTGTAAAAGCTACAATGCTTACACGCAATATAGTTTAAACAGTCCATATTCACTCTGCATGTGAATGCTGCATCGTTCGTCTTGGGTTCCTCCGCAGAATCTGAATCTTCCAAAAGCAAACAAAAAAAATGAAATCGTGTAAAGAACCAACATACCAAAAATTGTGTGAAAAAAGTGTAGTGAGACTGAGTACCAGCTGTTGCAGTGATGACAAGAACGACCAAGAACACAGCAATGGTTACACTAAGATTGTTCATTTTTGTCTCTTGAGCTTTGAAATTGATTCTTTCTAATGAACTTGAACGAAAAGATGTGAGTGATTTGTAGGTATATGAATTATGATGGTGTGAAGGAAGTCGATAGAGACACAGGTATATATATAGGAGCAATATAAGATCTAAATTGGCTACTTAGGGGGCGATTATTAATTTTTCTTTTTCTTTTACGCATACATGTTAAAACACTGTGTTTAATTATTGCTCATTAATGTAAAAAAAAAAAGTATTGCTCATTAATATCTTTTACATAGATTAAGAAATTATTTAAAATTATCAATCTGGTCTTATTTAATATATTACTAATTAAACTGTATTGACCTAAATATAAAATTGATTAATTTTGACTAAATGATAATTTAAAAATTTATTCTATTGCTCACTCATTGGTGAAAAACATTACTCTGTCATGAATCTTCTACTTTAATTTTTAATTACTACATATATCATCATTAAATTATAACCGGATTTACAAATTAAATTGCTAAGTACTATATATATCCTATTTGTTAAAGGCCATACTATGTATTAACTAATTTGCCAGTTTTATGGTTCAAGACACACTAGCTCAAAAGATAAAACCTTTACATGTCAAAAGAAAATTGTCAAGTGATGAAAGGTATTAGACATCTTTTCGAAACTAATCTTACTTACTTTGTATAAATTTTCTTCTAGTAGTTATTTTTTACAGCTATTACTTTTTGATAAAATGAAAACGTCTACATTTATACACTCGTCAAAATGATGATTTGGATATTGATAATGAGATAATTTTGTGGATAAGCGCGGGAAAATGTCCCTAGAATAGTTAAAGTTTTAAACCGGCCGGGTTTAGTCAAAGTACGCGCTGTTTAAAGTTTAAACACGCAACCCCCACGTCTTCTTGCTGCAGACAGCAAATTACTTAATAGCTAATCCAAAAAATACTTGCGCTAATCTTTTTCACTTTTTTTTTTTTTTTTGGGCCCAAATCTTTTCACATTCATATAAATAACCCAACAATTCATTTTCAATTCCCTTCGTCTTCCTCCTCTCTAATTTCCGGCGAGAATGGAATCCTCTGCAAGACCCAAGCTTTACCCGATCGTCGACACTTCAACCACCAATGCTCCTCTCCCAAGTTCCTCCTCTTCTTCTTCTTCTACTACTAATAATCTATATCCTTCCCTCGATGTTAATGATCTCGTCAACAATATCTTCCCGGAGCAATCCTCTGTCTCAGCCTCGGCTCCTCCCGTGGCGACGGAGGAAGTGATTCTGACAGTAAAAGGCGCGATTCTCCACCTCATCGACAAATCATACAGCGTGGAGCTCGCTGTCGGCGATCTCGAGATCATCCGTCTTGTTCAGGGCGAAATCACCGTCGCCGTGTTCGCTCGCGTCGCCGATGAGATCCAGTGGCCGTTGACCAGAGACGAACCCGCCGTGAAAGTCGACGAGTCGCATTACTTCTTCTCGCTCCGACCCGTGAAAGAATCCGGGTCGGAAGAGAACAACGATATGTTGAATTACGGGTTAACAATCGCTTCCAAAGGGCAAGAGCAGTTGCTCGAGAAGCTGGACATGATCTTGTCGGATTACAGCAGTTTCACGGCGGAGAAACACAAGGAGGAGGATGTTAATAACGTGTTGGATTTGACGGCGGCGAAGGAGACGTCGCCGGAGGAGCTGAAGGGAAAGAGGAAGAAGATGGTGGAGAAGCAATGTACGGCGTATTGGACGACACTGGCTCCGAATGTTGAGGATTACAGTGGAGTTGCTGCGAAACTGATCGCTGCAGGTTCTGGACAGTTGATCAAAGGGATCTTATGGTGTGGAGATTTGACAATGGATCGGCTCATGTGGGGAAATGATTTCATGAAGAAGAACTTGTCCAAAGCAGAGAAAGAGAGAGAAGTTGGCCCTAAAACTCTGAAACGTCTCAAGAGGTATGTATAAGAAATCTTGAGATTGTGTTTTCTCTTTATCAACTCAGTAAATTTGAAACATTTTCTGTATATTTTATAACAGAGTGAAGAAGATGACGAAAATGACAGAGAAAGTGGCGAATGGTGTGCTCTCTGGTGTTATAAAAGTTTCTGGATTCTTCTCGAGTTCAGTGGTGAATAGCACAGCTGGGAAGAAACTCTTTGGTCTTCTTCCTGGAGAAATGGTTCTTGCAACACTTGATGGATTCAGTAAGTTGCTTAGTTCTTGTTTATGCGTATTGGAGCTTCCTTCTTCTGATAGATAACATTTTAATTGTTCTCTTTTTGTTTGACAGACAAGGTTTGTGATGCTGTTGAAGTAGCTGGAAGAAACGTTATGAAAACATCTTCCACTGTCACTACTGAAATCGTCGACCACAAGTAAGTAACAGAAGCGGATGTGTTCATGCCAAAACAAATATTGGTTGGTCTCAGTCTTATGCTGTTTGGATAATAATGTTTTGATGTTATTTGATTTGCAGGTATGGAGCAAAGACAGCACAAGCGACAAATGAAGGGCTTGGAGCAGCAGGGCATGCTATTGGAACGGCGTGGACGGTTTTCAAGATCAGACAAGCTCTCAACCCCAAGAGTGCGATAAAGCCATCATCACTGGCTAAAACCGCAATCAAAACGGCAGCTAAAGAAAAAAAGAAGGGGGAAAAAGTTCTTTTAACTAGGAAAGAAGCTTTCAAGTTATGAGATTTATGCAAACATGGATAGAATTTTAGATATGATTTGATTAATAACCGCAAAATATCATAAAGTGAGAATTATGATGTTCTTTTTTTGGCTTGGTTTCTTCTAAATAGGAAGAAAGCTTTCTCTCTAATGCAATTTGTATTGCTTGTTCTTCAGTCTCATTGCCTTGGCACAGAAGCTATGAATAGACAGTAATAGTTAAAAAGATTAGTATTTGTTGTTGTTGGTGCTAATGTTTTGCTCCCTCAAGAATCATGAGATTTATACAAACATGAATAGAATTTTAGATATGGTTTGATTGGTAACCGCAAAATATTATAAAGGGAGAATTATGATGTTCTTTTTTTGGCTTGGTTTTTATCTGGAGCAGAAAAGGAACAAATTGAGTCATGAATTTCAGATATAGACTAGTGACTTTCATTTCTTGGTGAATAATGTGTTCTCTTGGCGACAAAAAAAAAAAGTGTTCTCTTTGTCACATGCTCTGCCGTTTTTATGCTCACGTCGTTTTTAGAGTAAGCAAAACAGTACGGTGTTTTTATTTATCAATTTGATATTTCAGTTCAGCCCCACAAGTTGAGAGAAATAAAAATTCTATATAACAACAACAGAGTTCGAACCTGCGAGCTCCCTCTTATAAATTCAAAGCTCTGACCAACATAGCAAAAAGTAGGTTGCTGTCTTCAACATAAGATCAGAGAGCTGGAACGCGAAACAGAGGAACCCGCTTTTTCACCATGAAAGATGACTACGAGGTGCGACTTCTGATGTCTCAATTCGGGTTTGATCGGATTTTTTTTTTTATATTCTGGGGTTTCTTGAGTATTTTCAAAATCAGATAATCAGGGATCAGAATTTGGGATTCGTTTTTCCAGAAAATATAGGTACCTAATTTGGGATTCGCTTTTACTGAAAGTTCAGATTATTAAGGATTCGCTTCCAAAGCAACGTCTTTTAATCTGCGCCATGAAGTTCAAGATGTTGATTCATAGTTTTCAGTATTCAAACTATGATTTAGACTGTTTTATCATCTGTACAGACAGTGTTAATGGAATTGGGGAAAATGTTTCTAAAAATCCAAGCTTTAGGATCATCTTCTATTCTTAAACCGGAATCAGGACATTGTGTCGCATCTTTGTTCTTTCTTTCTGATGCTTGACCAAAGTTTGGGACTTGTTGCTTATTGTCTTTTTTTTTTTTTAAGTTGAGCTTATGATGTCTTAATAGGCTGATGAGAAGAAGCAAGCTGCTGCTGATGTATTGTTTAGTTATTCCAAGTTTGCAATGGCCTGCATCGGAAATCAGACTCGTCCTAGTGACATGAGATTGCATTTGATGAAGGTAGTTAATTGAATTCGATTGTTTCAGCCATTTTGGGTTTGCGTCTTGTGATTTGAGTATGAACGTTTCAAAGTTAATATAGAGTTTAAAATTTATAGGAGATATCGGGACTGCCAACTTCTCTGAAAAGAAGAGAAGCTTCTAGAGCAGCAACTTCGCCTGATCCACTCGGAGAATCATCGAGCTCTGGCACCGCCAGGCTAGATAAAGTGGATAGTTTCAGGGTACTTTAATGTCAGTTTTCAATATCTCAGCCTAAGTATCTGTCGCCGAGAAACCTATTTATCAAAATTTGAACGGTTGATTTTAGCCCATGATAGTGTTACGATGTATTCCCACTGTGTGACTCTGAGAAATCAAAATTTGAACGGTTGATTTGTATGTTTTTCTTCCATTTCTTGAACATATTGTCTGTCTTCTTATGGTCTAGTTTCTACGTTATTCCCAAGCACAGAAGATGGTTTCTTGAGTCCAGAATGTTTGTTAGGGAAATTATGAATCATTGACAATCGAATCCTGAAGCTTAAAAGTAACAAGGCATGAATCTTTCTATTTATTGCATTCATTCAATTAACATTAGTAAATCTATCTCTTAACCCTTTTCGTATCCTCCTCATTTTTTGCCTCCTCCTCTGGTTGCTTCGTAGCATATGGTAAAGATCACAACAGCTGCAGCAACAGCGATTCCAAGCGTCTGCTGCGTCACTGCTGAAGGAATTTTTCTCGGCGGATTAAATCCTAGTTCTGAGAGTTTCTTGTGTGAATTTGCATAGTCTTTGAAGAACACATTTTCTTCCTGTCATACACATCGTTATCACCTTTTTTTTACTGATTAAGCCAGAGAATTCCTAGATTTTTTATAATTGTCCCGAAATCAAAATTAATATACCTTTGCATACAACTCAACATAGGGGTGGAACTTGGAATCACCAAGTAGAGCCTTGTCGGTTTTCAGTTGTAGCAATCCTGGCGTCTCCCCTTTCAGGAGCTCTCTGAAACATCAATCAGAAACCAATGTAATTAAGTTTCAGGACTCTTTCCCTAGCTTTGTGATGATTTTGTTGTTGGCTTACACGAAATATGAGTTATCAAACTTGAGAGGATCTTGTGTCCAAGCACCTTCAAAGTCTGATCTATCCTTATGTGCACGTCCCTATATACAAAAGCATCAACCACGTTGGTGTCAACTAAAAGACGTTTAGAGACGATATCTTCAGAAGAGTTAGTTAGTTACCAAAGTGTGGCCTCCAGAGAGAGCTACAATGTCTCTATCCGATAAACCCATGCGAGAGAAGAGAGTTCTTAGATGTGAGGCACCTGCAGTAATCCAAAAGAATGGTTTAATCAGTTTGTGAAATAGGATTCCATTGCATTGCACAGGAGCTACAAGCTGCGGGAGGAACCTTGATTTGGATCAGGAAGTTCTCCTTCGTCTGGGGAATCAGCATCCTGCAATCATTTTCCCAATGATTATAAGATTCTCTCTTTTTTTCTAGAAACACACTTAGCAAATACTATGGTTCTAACGCGCGATAAAAGGCAAGTACCTTACGGCCTGGAGAAAATTGGATTGCAGGGCCACCGGTAACCTCCACTGCAACAACTCCAGCGAGCTGAAATGAAAACAAAGAATCTCTGTCAACGAGGAAGAAAGGTTTGTATGAGTTAAATGGCTTAGAAATACCATAGATATATCAATGTTAACCTGATAAAGGTCTGCATAAGAGACTCGCGGATGCTTAGCCTTTACTTCCTCTGAAACCAGAAACCAAAAATTCAAACATCAAAGGAAACAGCAAGCAACCAAAGATTGTCCTGAACAATAGATAAAAAGCATCAAAAGAAACTAACCGCAGAAGGCGACAGCTTTCTCCAAACCATTGTTGTGCGAGCGGTTTAGCTCGTCCTTGAACCTAATAGAACCATTGGGGCCTCCGGTTTTCTTCTTGGCATCATAAGTTCCTGCATCATGCCATCTACACGCGGACAAGAATTTTTGCATTTGGAAACGTTAAGACAAGAAAGAAAGAAAAATAGAGAGTGATTCTGAATCTTACGCAAGACGGAGCATTATAGGAGCACAGTTTCTAGAAGAGATAAGAGCTCGAAGGTCACGACGAGTCTTCTCTATCTCTTTGAGGTACTCTGCATCAACGTTCACTGCCATTGCCGGACTTTCAAAGAGCAAGCAAAAATAACTCAAAAACGATATATGAATATGATTTGAATAGGAGAATGACTCTGGACGGTGAATAGAACTGAGCAATCTTATATATAAACTTTAAGCAGGGTGTGTCCATGGGACAAGTATGTTTTGTCATCTGGAGAAAGCAAAGTACATATACTTTTTTTAATCTATGATCCCTTTTGCTAATCTTCGCATATATTCAAGTTTTCATTTATGCAAGTATATCTTCACATGTTTGTATGTATTATACTATTTGGTGTACATGTATTTGTTTGTGATTTTCTCATTTTCTGCAAGTAGTCTGCCTTAACTTATAATATACATATTCAACGTTCAACCTTTTATCTTCTCATGTAAACGGAGTCAAAGATTACATGTAGTTATTTTTGAGACAACCAATCAATATATTGGAAATGCTTAGGTACATATATAACGAAGGGAAAAAACCATAAAAGTACCTGATGTTAATAACATTTGCTAAAAAAATACCCAAATTATTTATGCTCTTTAAAAAATACCTAAATTTTTTATGAGTTCCAATTTAATATCCAAATATTCAAAAAGTAAAAGTTTGACACCTTCCATTTCACAGAGGTTAACAGAGCTAACAGAATCGGTAACTGTGTTAATTTTTTATAAAATGTAAAAATTAATCTTTGCAAATTTACGTTTTTATCCTCAAAAATCTTCAAAATCAATTTGGGGAAGAACAAACCCTAATTTTCCCCTTATATCGACATTCATCTTCTCTTATTGATTTAAGGGAAATCTCAAAGCTCTAGTGTTGAATATTCTTCTGCGAAACACATATGCTTTTGCGTATTCCTTCTCTTTTGTTACTGTTGCGAGTTCTAAGATGAACGAAAAGGAAGAGTTTTATAACTCGCTGAATCGATTTCAATGAAAGCTAGTTTCAAAGAGAAAGGAAACTCAGATTCGGGGCTCGTCAATGTATATGGCTTACATCTCATGGTACCTAAAATTAAAAAGAGGAGATGAATGTCGATGAAGGAGGAGGGAAAATTAGGGATTGTTCTTCTCCTTAGAAGATTTTAAGGATAAAAAATGTAATTTTAGAATGATTAATTAGCACATGTTAATAAAATTAACGCAGTGGATCGATTCCGTTTACTCTGTTAACGTCTGTGAAATCGAGGGTGTCAAACTTTTACATTTTGAATGTTTGGATATTAAATCAATACTTATTACTAATCTAGGTATTTTTTAGGGAGCATAAATAGTTTAAGTTTTTTTATAGCAAATGTTGTTAACATCAGGTATTTTTAAAGTTTTTTCCCTATAACGAAATAACAGAAAAGGTTAATTTACTAATCGAACAGAAAAACAAACAGAAGAATAACGAGCGAAAGTAAAAAAAAAATGGTAAAAAAGTGAAAAGTCGGAAGCAAAACAATCGGGAGGTTCATGGCGGAGATTATTCCATTAGCGAACGCTTCAATGGCAATTATTTCCGGCCATCATTTTCTACCTCTCTCTTTCTCTCTCTAGCTTCTCTCGATCCAATTCATCGTCCTCACGTTTTGTTTTCACAAACATTCATCTTCCTCGATCACCTCTCACATTTTTTTTTCTGATTTCCTTTTTTAGTAAGGTTTCCACATTTACAATTTCTAGGGTTTTGGTTGTGCCGGAGATGGTAATTTGAAAGGTAATGGTGGAGGATTCAGAGGAATTGGCTTCGTATTGTGGGGTTTTCTGGGTTCCTCAGGTGTAGATCTGAGGTTGATTTTCTCTTCTTTCTTTCTTTCTTTTTTTTTGTTGGTATTGTGTCTGGGTAATTGTGGAGTCGATGAGCGCTTCAAGGTTTATAAAGTGCGTCACCGTTGGTGACGGAGCTGTCGGCAAAACATGTTTGCTGATTTCTTACACCAGCAACACCTTTCCCACGGTAATTGTGATTGGTTTGATTCTGTTTTTTTGTCTGATTCAAAAAAAAATCTGGCTTTTTGGGCGATCTATGTTAATGATGTGAATATTCCATGGAACAGGATTATGTGCCGACTGTGTTCGATAACTTTAGTGCAAATGTGGTTGTTAACGGGAGCACGGTGAATCTTGGATTGTGGGATACTGCAGGTAAAATGACGCAAAACTCATCAACCTTGCGGAGAGCTTAGTGCAAAGGTCTGAATTTTTTATTTGATTTTGATTACAGGGCAGGAGGACTATAACAGATTAAGACCTTTGAGTTACCGTGGTGCTGATGTTTTCATCCTAGCCTTCTCTCTCATTAGTAAGGCTAGTTATGAGAATGTTTCCAAGAAGGTGAGTTTTCATCTTGCTGTTCGCCACTTTCTAAATTTGAACAAGGGACTTTCCAAGTCTTTTTTTTTTTTGGTGTTGTAAAATTTGGTGCTTGCGCTTCTGTTTTACAGTGGATCCCAGAGTTGAAGCACTATGCTCCTGGTGTCCCAATTGTCCTTGTTGGTACCAAACTAGGTAAGTTACCCTCGCATTTGCTTGGTTCTCTTTCAAATTTGTACATTTTCAAGATGGGTCCATTAGCTGAAACCGAGGCTAGTTTTCAGAGTATATATAACATTGGTCAACAGGATTCTTCTTGTATATTGCATTTCTTGTGATAAGCAACCATATGCTATAACCTTCTTGTGATGACCTTTTAAAACTTTTAGTAACCTATGGTTCGACTATAGATTCCTCTTATTTTCTGCATCTGGCTGAATCTTTGGTGTCTGCAACTTGATTCGTGGATTTTTTAACCTTGGTTTGTGTCAGATCTTCGGGATGACAAACAGATTTTTATCGACCATCCTGGTGCTGTCCCTATTACCACTGCTCAGGTAAGAATACTTCATTTCCTCGGTGCAATTCTCTCAGTTTTGAAAAAAAAAAAAAATGTTAAATCATTTGCCCGCTCTGCATTAAAGGGAGAGGAGCTCAAGAAGCTAATTGGAGCGCCTGCTTACATCGAGTGCAGTTCAAAATCACAAGAGGTAAAGAGAAAACACGTCTTACGAATCAAATTTTGAATGTTGCCTTTCATCTTTTTGATGAAAACTATGTGGTTAAACTGCAGAACGTGAAGGGAGTCTTCGATGCAGCGATCAGAGTAGTCCTTCAACCTCCAAAGCAGAAGAAAAAGAAGAGCAAAGCACAAAAGGCCTGCTCCATTTTGTAATAGCTTTCATGGAGGCCAAGAAGCTCTTTGAAATGTCGATGACAGGGTCGCTAAGAAAATATTGCGTTTTCATTTTTTTGTCTTTTGTTTTCCGTATTCATTGTGATTGCTCTCTCTCTCGTAGTTCCTTTAAAAACGAATTGTGGGTTTCATTTAGCTAATATTGCAGTTGGAGTGTCTCTCTTCCATTCTAAATGTATGTACAACATGATGATATGTAATCCCAATTCTCATGAAAAATTCCATCTTGTAGAAAAAATTTCAATTTTTCAGCAAGAGAGATTAAGGCGTTATACTGATATTACTATATAAGTAACCGCAAAAAACAACAAACAGTGGTCTCATACAACCTTATAAGGCTAAACCAAAAAATGTCTGGTCCGAGTCCGGTACATGGATATCTCGACCAGGTTCCTTGTTAAAATCTCCCTGCTCTTTGACATTATCAGAAAGGGACGGTGTAAGGTAAGGCATGAACATCAGCTTCTAATAAAAGGCGAGCACGTGGCCACGCCACTGAACTGCTTATTACTTCCTTGGTCTCATTGTTTCTACTAAGCTGTTTGCATCTTTCTGTGCCGAAATTGTGGCTACTTGGCTTATTCATGGACCACCAACATTCTTCATCTTCAGAGTTAATGAGCTCTACTCTTCTCTCGATCGTGCTAGGGACCCAATTCTCAACTACATTCAAGAATTGCACAGCCATGGATGGAGGGCAAATCCTGCACAGGCTTGAAGGTTGAAAAGTTTCTTGGCTAGTAGGTTTAAATTTCTTCTCTTTAGCGAGTTTCGTTGTGAAAACGTGATCTCTTCTTTTCTCTTCAAGTGGCTTTGAAGCATGTCCTGGTGCAGAAGTGGAACAAGGTTGTTGCTGTTTCACCGGCTGCTCTCTAGTATCACGCTGAGAGGTATCTAACTTTGTTTCCCGGGAAGGACACAGTTTTTGTTGATCGTTGTTGGTCATCGTCATCAACTCAGGATCTTTAAGCCTTCGGAGAGGCAATCGGATCCGAATGATGCTTTCTTCAAATTCATACCAACAATTTGAAGAAATAATGTCATCAATGTCCTGAAAAGGCAAAACAAGAATAGTAGATCCTTCCCGGGGAAGGAAGAAACACAAACAAACTCACCAGAGTCATTGTTACGTCTACCATCGAGAGGCTGCTTCTCCTTCTGCTTAGGTAACTCATTGCTGTTAACAGTGCTGTCACAAGAGTTCTGAGACGTCGACGGAAGCAGCTCACGTTCTACAGTAAGGCTACTCTTCTCCAAACAGTCATTTTCCCTTTCTTTTAGTTTGCGAAAAACATCAACTTTCTGATTCTGACTATCTTTGGCACCTTCTTCTTTATGCCGTCTCTTATGTCTGTGCTTTTCGCTTTCACCATCCCCTCTTTCCCTCTCCTTCCTCTTTTTCTCCTTCTTCTCCTTCTTAGCTTTCTTATCTTTTTTATCATTTTTATCCTTCTTCTCTCTTTTTCTCTCCTTCCTCCGTTGTTCTTTCTTAGCTTTTTCCTCTGCCCCCTGGATTTTCAAAAGCAATGGGACAACGATTAGTTCGCAGAACCTGACGAATTTAAAGAATTTCGAAAACATGCACTCAGATAGATAAACCCTTTGCGCACCACTAACTTACTCAATGCACTTGAATCGTATTTTGATATTGTCATCTCAAAACGGGACCCGGTTAAAATTGTGACATTGAATCGTATTCGTGCTTTGAATTATAATAGTACAATTTGTATTATCGTTTTCGATAAGAAAATTATCACACTCTATTTCCATCTTTCATGACGAAAAATATCCATAGACTCAACAAACCCTCCTAGAACACAGACACCAGAGAACTGGAAATGAGGTTCGAGAAACCAAACACACAAGGAAGCTGAGCATTGGAAATCCCGTGAACCCAAAAGCCAAACCCGAAACCACGTGATTAAATGCTCAAACAAACCTTGATCGATTCGATCAGAGCCTCATCGCGAATTCCGTTCAGTATATAGCCAGGTGGCGGGAACGGGAAACACCGAGACATCTTAAGATTAAGGACAAAATCCAAGCAACAAACAAAATATTGGATGCTAAGAAGATGACTCGGAATCAATACGGGACAATGACGAAATCTCAGATCTCGCTAAGACCAGCGAAACCCTAAATCGATCACGAGGGACACCGAGTGGGTTTAAAGTAAGATATTGGGGCTTCTAATAACGCGCCAAAATCAAATCTAAGAAGTTACAGTAGATTAGCCATGGATCAGAGGTATTAGTTGAGCGGAGAGGAACGAAGGAGCCGCGAGATCTCAAAATCCCTTCGAAGCTCTCTCCGATGAAAAAAGTGTTTATTCTCAAGACATGTAAGCTATATTTATAACCAAAATAAGATTGACCCTACACGGGACAAAAAGCGTGTTTGGCTACAGGCATAGTTAGACAACGGCATCGTATGATTACGTAGACATTTCTTCTCCTTATTAATACCCGCTTTAGTGACGGTTGTTTGGCAAATAAGCCCATGAGACCAAAACTAGGCCCAAATATATCGGAGGCCTTAGAAAATAAATTTGCGGCCTTACATCCATGGAGAGATGTTTTATGAAGTAGCTAAAAGAGGTTTACATTAAGGTACAGAATCCGGTTTTTGTTTCAATAGTTTAAGATTTTCAAATACATTTTACAATTCATCCCGTCTTTAATTATTTGTTGTCATGAACTCGACGAGGCTACCGTCTTCAATTTCGGTAGGGTTTAATACTTTAATTCACGGAAAAACTTAATAGCCACCATTAATATAAGAAGAACGCAAGCAAAAACAATAAAGGGGGAAAGAAACCAATGATCCAGAGTTCCAGACAAATGCAGAAAATATACACAAGACTCAACTGACCAATTCAAAAAAAAAAAAACTTGCTTATTTATGACAAACTCAGATGACTTAAAACTTAAAAACCTTAAGATGAGACGACTACGCGCCATGTAAACCTAAAACCCTGTACTAGCACTGCTACAAAACTTGCATGCTACTTACTCTATAGTCTATAACTGAAGAAGATGATGACGATGATGATGATGATGAAGATGATCATGAACAATGATCAAGGCGATAAAAACAAACATAATATGAACAGAGAAGGAAAAGCAATATGAAGCGTCTGACTGCAGCAAGTGTAATCAGCGAAGGTTGTTTTGAGCAACAGCTTGACATAACTCATCCTCGTAAAAAAGCACTCGAGGGTGCTTTGGAGCCAGTGGTTTGAACAAAGTCGGCCTTTGGAGAACAGAAGGAACCATGCATCTTGAAGGGAATGTTGTCTGGTCTTGGAAAAGAACAGCAGTGATTTGCTTCATCTCTGTGAATTTCGTTCGACAAGGCGGCCGAGGAGCATGTTTTGGTGCTTTTGGGGTATGTGGGCTAGGCATGATTGCTAGGTTTCCATCTTCTTTGCTGTTTATTATAATCAATAAAGTTTTTGGTAAGAGCCAAACAAGTTGTTTGATGCTCTCTTCGAAAGGGTAAAAACTGAAGCAAAACATATACCTAAGAAATGGCCAACGATTTATTGGCATTGGGGTAATGACACTCAACATTTCCTGTCTTGAGCGGTCTGGTGTTGTATAGTTGAAATGATATTGTCGTGCGATCAAGGTCTGTTTCAAAAGGAAACTCAAAACAGATTAATACCCAACAAAGTAAAACAGCAAAAGGATTAGAGACTTTTATGGATGCAAAGTAAACAAGTACAGAACACTTACAGCCTTCCTTATTCTCTGAGAAACATGGAAAACTGCCTTCAGCTGGTCATGGTGCAGATGACAAACTATTTTAACCTGGAAGATTTAGCAAGATGAAAATAAGCATCGAGGCAATCAGATGACTACCAAAAGGAACAAGTGAAGCGAAGGAAGACGAAAAAATACCAGTAAATCCATGGGTAGAGATTCAAACTGAGATTCTGAGTTGCAAGGATCAGCTTGTGGTGTTTTTGGTGTCCTCACCAACGTGTTTTGCATAACAATACCCATCGGAGATAACATCAGAGGATTTTTCTTACAAACCTTGCTCTCCACCTCCAGATCATCAAACTTCATTGGCCTCACCAGGTTACTCCGCTTAACGATGTTGACTGGCGACAACATCAGAGGGCTTTTCGGAGAATTGTTATGTTCAGCTGCAATTTTAGTGTTCCTTGTGAGCTTGGTATCAAACACAGGTACTCGTTTCTTCCCCAAATCCAGGTCATTGCATGACTTAGCAGCAGCCGAAGCTTTGCTGTAACATAGCTGAACAAGAGCCCCTGGCTTTAAATATTTGTTACTTGAACTTTTCAACTTCTTTTTTCTCGCTGAGATTTTCGAATCCGAGTCCTTTGGTGATACCTTCCCCATACGAGTTGATCTTCTTGATCCTCCCGATTGTTTAAGAAGACACTGCTCTCTCTATAGCCAGTGAGAGCTACTACAACTGTCTCCTATAGATTAACTACCAATACGACTATTGGAAACAACGGAAATTATCAATCCAGACCTGAAACATTCAGATTAAGATACATTAGATATCGGAAATCTGGTTCGCATCGATAGTCTCCAGATATTTGCTCACGCTATATCAAAACAGACTAATTACGGATAACGAAATTGAAAAATCATATCCAGCCAATTTATCAACCAAATTAACTTGTTAAACTAAAAATCAAATCAAAAGGTGTAGGCGAATCTCGAGAGAATCGAGCGAGTTTAAACCCTCAAAATCGAAAAGGAGAGAAGGAAAGGAGAAGGAATTACCATAGATTAACAGAGACCTCCTACTTCGGAAAACTTTCAGATCGAGAAAGATTCAGCTTTAGATTAGAAAATCGGGAGATTGGAGAGGGTGAGAGAGGAAGCTGAATATCCAGAGAGCGAAAATGGAGGCAGAAGCCAGAAATGGCGATAGCGAGGGAAGCGATTTGAGCGAGAGAGGGAGAGAGTGAAAAAAAAAAGAGGCGCTAGGGTTTTGTTTTAATTTTGGCTCTGATTTTGAATTTTGTTAATTACGCCCGCCAAAACAATTTCTAAAGCACTACAATTACCAAAGTAATCTCGAAACGTGGTACGTTACTAGTGGCTAACCCTAAATTATCGGAGACGTGGGACCTATTTTCACTATCCACTAGCTGCTCTACCAAATTTAACGGCGGAGATTGCGCAGTCACGCTTTTTTGGCGAAAAAGATACCGTAATTAGCATGATTAAATTGATTGTTATAAGGACACATTAATCTTTATCACGCCTTATTAATTACAAAGGTGGCTCCTCTTGTGATGTTTCTTTTTCGGAAATTTTTCTCTCCTATCAAGTGTACTAACTGATTGAATAAATTCAAAATTCGGAAAACTGTATCTACACAAAACTTTTCGATGAATCACATAACTGTATATGAATTTCCATTTTCCTCGTGATTATTTTAATTTCCCTTTGTCGTTGATTCACGCGCGTTGTATTTTGGTATCATATCTTTTTTTCTCGCTCTGATTGACGATGATAAATTAAACAGTTGTCTAGTAAAAGTCCATATCGATTTGGGCTTACTAATCTATTATTTCAGCCCATTATAAAATGACAGTTTTTTGTTTCCGCTCAAGTTCAAACAATCCATTTGTAATCAAACCATAAAACGAAAATAAATTTTAAATAAAAAACCTATAACACATCAGCTGTTAGCCTGTTACTATGGAGAAACTACTATATAAGATAATAAGAATATGCAAAATCATTGAAAAATTCACGGGGTATCCTAGTTCGTATGATTCTTCATCCTAGTTCGTATGATACTTCATAAGTTATATAATATTTTGGTTCACGGGCTCTTAAAGCTCTATGTTAGGGGTTGATTAGCACATGGGTTTTTATTTAATTCTTACAGATACAGATATATATATAGTATATATATTACTATATATATGTATTTATAGTGTGTGTATGTGTGTATTTATACTGCATCTAAGATTTAGATGTGTTTTTTGTCAACATGCGAATTAGTGTTTATTACATGTTTTATAAATCTCCTGTGAAATTTTGAATTGGAAGTTGACAAAGATAAAATTTAAAATGTTGGTTTAATAAAGAATATTTATATGTATGTAAATGTGTCAACATACGAATTAGGTTTTTTAATATATAATTTACCTTTTTATTTCATTTGGCCCTTATCTACAAAGTAGGTTGATGCTTGGTTGCACCCAAACAAAAAAGTGTGTTGATGCTTATAGTTTAATATTTAAATTTATTTGACCAGAAGTAATGCAGATTTTGAGGTGTGCGCTTCTTCGTTATATAATTGTTAATAAATCGATCCCGACAGAGTGTTAGACATTCGATGATCATTTTCACTAACATAACCCCAGAAAATTAGTCAAAGTACAGTATAAACACCTTTGTTTAGTAGTGGTATGTGTGGAAAATTTAGCTGTCCCATTTATTGTTACAGATAAGGACATTTGAAGACATTTATTTAATTATTTTAGTATAAAGTAAGATGCACGATTATTCCCAACTAAATTCATGGACACTATCGACCAAACAACTAAAGCAACAGTTTCTCTATCTTAACTACCTCCTATGAGAAGTATATTTCTTACTTTTACAATTATGACATATACATTTACATTGTATAGTAATGTCAATTCGTTTGTCTTAGTTCGTTTGAAACGTTTAGTTAAAAAATCAATTCCGTTTCCTTAATTTGTTCGCTGCTCAACCCATTCAATAGAGTAAATCCGTTTCGCCGGCGTGCAAGTGGTAATCGAAGAATTGAATGCACGCACATACGTAAAATAGTGGTATTAATTTTAAATCACCATGAATTCTAAATTTAGAATTTGCACAGAACCTCTACCGATTAAAAATATTAATTTAAATACTCTTGTAAAATACATCAAAATATTCAGCAATTAGCTTGTAATTTTGTAAAGCAAAGGCGTGTTACCAAAATTTGTAGTAAATTAGTAATAAAGCAACCATCGTCTATCAAAATATTCCTTTGTTGTTTTCTTTATGTCGTATGTACACACGCACATTCTCAAATAAAAACGGGTTCTATGATACGGAACTTCCATTGGACTTTCATTTGCAGTTTTGGTTGTGACGTGTGGGTTGAATACAAAGAAGAAACAACTGGACCATTAACAAGATTATATACATTTATTTTCAATATATATGTTGGTCATTGTCATGGAGCAACTGTAATATTAACAGTTTTACAGAAACTGCTACTTTGGCTAAAATGAGTAAGATACTTTTTGGGGGAAAAATGGTTACATTTATGATTTTTGTATGGGAGAGTAAACGCATGGTATATAGGCACTCTCAAAAAAGGAAGAGGGCGTAGCAGTCCTACTCCACCAGGACCACCACCACCACCAATGTCCACCCTTTCCACACATGCATTTTGTATACCTGCCAATATATTTATAATTTCTTGTAGTTATAGGTTATATATATATATTATTACATATAAAATTAATATATGTATATATGTTTTAGATAAGCGTGCGAAAACTAACAAAATAATTTTTAGAAACAAAATCTCATTTAATAATTAGTTAAAAACACACTTCAATTAATTATCAAAAACCTAGAGAATAGTCAAATATGCTAATCATAAAAATAACATGAGAATAACATTAAAAATAAAAAACTATGTTGGGATGATCTTTGCAATCACTTGCTTGTCGTAAAATAGCAAAACATATTTGTTTCGTAAAATATAAATAAATTATTTAATGAAAATATTATGTTAACATTTTAGTTTTTCGATGATTAGCGGCTCATGAAACAGATGCTTGCTTTTTTTTTTTTATAAGCATATCACTTGATCAGCGTAAAATGATAACACTAGTTTACTGCATTTTAGAATTCATATTATTTGTCAACGGAGATGTGAAGACAATAAGATATAATCTGTGGGGTTTTTTGTCGACGTAGTTTTAAAATTTGAAAGATAGATAGCATGATCTTTTTCGTCGTCTAAAAATAAAAATAGCATTCTTTTCTTTGTTTTGTGTCTTGAAATCTAGATATAAATATGTACAAAAATATTTTGGCCAAAAAGAAATCCCAAAAGAAATATGTACAAAATATTTCATCAAAAGACACCCAATAGTATTAGTTTACCGTCAGTTTCGCCAGCTGTCTATAATACAATCATGGTAATCCACGTGCAGCAAGATCGATATGTGGAGAAATTAATTAAATCAATGTATATACTATATAGAATGAAGAGGGCATGATTAACATAACTGCATTTCAAAGACAAATCAATTTCAACCGAAAAAGGTCTAAAGGTGAATTTGTTTGTGATGGACGGACTACCCTTCCTATCTTAACCACCATCATTACTACAATGACTGTAATTCAAAGACAAATCAAGTTCAAGCGATCACGTCTCACTTTGATCTCTATTTAATTGTTTAAAAAAGATGCTATTGTTTACTATAAATTTTCTTATAGTATCACGAAATGAAACCACAAGTAAACGGCCCACCTATTGAACCTCTAATAGAAAAAAGACTCAAATTCGTTTAACGTGATGTTGAAACACAATTTTTAGTCTAATTACAGTTACATATCAAGTTGGGTTAGTTAATTTCCTCTGAATTACTGAAAAGGGGAAAAATGTTAATATGCCACCTAACAGTTTTTCCAATCATCGATTTCTTCTTAGTGGTTTGGATTTAATCGCAAAGTACATATAATATAAATTATTGGTTCTAGTAATTGGAATTGTTGGTATAAACATTTACTACTTAAAAATAATATGTTCACGCCGTTGTGCCTTATAATTCGTTTCAAACGATGTCAACTGTATGCCGACATAAAAAAAAAAAAAAAAAGACAACAAGGTCATATACATCTTAGCAAGCCAATAGGACTTTAGCCATTCTTAGGATTTAACCGGACAGTAATATTTCAACGGTGCTTATTTATAGTAAATCTCATACTTCGAAATATTATTAAGGTATAATTAGTAGTCTACACATGGTCTCTTCTTTCTCTTGCACGATAACGTAACGTGTATCTAGCTCCCATTAGGTACTGTAAGTCTGTAATTACGTAACAAAACACGTTACAACCTAATTAGGATTTATAAACTTCATAATTAGGATGGTTAAAAAGGAAAAATCACGGGTGGATTATTGGTAAATAGAGAGAGTTGGGAAGGGCCTATCGGTAAATACAAGCAAAAGCAGGATGGGTTGGGTTCTCTTCAGCTCCGACGAGTGGCAAAATGAAGGTGTGGGGAAAGCTAATGAAGAAATACATAAATCGACAAAAACAAACCGTCTTCTCCATATGACTCATCTCTGCCTCTGGATACTCTCTTGACGCAGAGAATCTTCTCTCTGCTCTTCTTTCGAAGACAACGACGAAGAAATCTCCTGGTGATTTGCTCTGCATTTTTCCCGGAAAACTTATATTATTCTCTGTAAATGTTCTTCTTCCTCTTTTTCAATCAATATTCTAACATTTTTTTTCTTCTTTTTTTACTAATTAAAATAGGAAGTCGTGAAGAGGAAAAGTATAACTGTTGCCTTCTTCAATGCACTAAGTGAGCATTCCAATATTGTTTCCTCTCTCTTAATTTTTCTCTATATTTTTTTTTCTGTGATTTTTTTTATCTATAGCATCTTCCTTCTAATTTGAACTCCGGCGGAGGAGTTTGGTCGCCGGCTAATTGTTCTCTCACCTGACATTCGTCAGAGGTTTTACTGTTCATTGCTAACCTTCTTTTTCTTTCTGGTCTTCACATTTTCTCGCTTTCGCTTTCGTCAGCTTCAAGTGTTCAAATAGAAACCGTCTTTAGGGATTTTTTAATTTTCTTTTTGGCGTTGAAGATCTTTGACGTAGAAAAGCCTAAGGACCTGGAGAATCTCTTTGAATTGGAATCTTATGGACTTTTCCTTTTCTTCTTTGTTGTCGCAGTCGAAGAAGCTGCTCCCTGTTTAGTCAAGTCACGCTTCACTCACTCATGATGCGATTTCTCAACTGATTATTCCTCTGAAACATCCGAATCTCCGTGCGGTGACCTCTGATTCGGCGTCGGAATCTGGCTCCTCCTCGATCTCAATCAGCAATGCCGGCGTTGGATCGAATTCTCTGATTCCGGTAATTTCCAAAAATTTTAGCTCAGTCGAGGTAAAATTTCGAACAATCTCGATAATCCCAACTTTTGGATCTTAGAATCTGCTAAGACTTAACGCGAGTGATGATGAATCGGTACCAACAGGAACTTTTCCAATCGCTTTGAAGAGAGCCGAAGAAAATGTCTCATTCATGGGATGGTCTCGGGGAGATTGCGTCAGTGGCTCAGCTCACTGGGCTAGATGCCGTCAAGCTGATAGGGCTTATAGTTAAAGCTGCAAACACTGCTTGGATGCACAAGAAGAATTGTCGCCAATTCGCTCAACATCTCAAACTCATCGGGAATTTGCTTGAACAGCTCAAGATCTCTGAGATGAAGAAGTATCCAGAGACTCGAGAGCCTCTCGAAGGGCTCGAGGACGCTTTGAGGAGGTCTTACATTCTCGTCAACAGTTGTCGTGACCGGAGCTATCTCTACTTGTTGGCTATGGGATGGAACATTGTTTACCAGTTCAGGAAAGCTCAGGACGAGATTGATCGTTTTCTTAAGATCATACCGCTCATCACTTTGGTGGATAACGCTCGAGTTAGGGTAAGTTGTCTCAAGATTCACTACTTGGTGCTTAAACATGGAATTATGGTTTTTTGACTTTTGAAATTTGGATAATTATGTACAGGAGAGGTTAGAATATATTGATCGTGATCAGTTCGAGTACACCCTTGATGAAGAGGATAGACATGTGCAAGATGTTATTCTGAAGCAAGAATCTACCAGAGAAGCAGCATCAGTGCTGAAGAAGACTCTCTCTTGCTCATACCCTAATTTGCGTTTCTGTGATGCTCTCAAAACAGAAAACGAGAAACTGCAGCTCGAACTTCAGCGTTCGCAGGAGCATTATGATGTGGCTCAGTGTGAAGTCATTCAGCGTTTAATTGGTGTTACACAAACTGCTGCTGCTGTTGATGACTCTGAGAAGCAGCTGTCTAAGAAAGCTTCGAAGAAAAATGAGCGTAGCTCAAGCAATAAGACAGAATATTCCTATGACGAAGATTCTCCCAAGAAAAGCAGTAGTCGTGCACCTTCGAGGTTAGAATCTCCAATTTGTTCCGCTTATAATATCCAAACGTCATGTGCTTTCTTTAAATGCAACTTGTGTGTATTGTCTAGTTACAAAAATATTATATTGTGATTATAATCTCCAATTCTTTGCTGTGACTGTAATGCGTTCAGTTCTGTTTCATGGTTGAAGATTAACATTGATTACATAATTTGTTCCATGCAGATCTACTTCTTCTGTTACATCAGGGCATGATCTGCTTTCACGAAGAGCATCACAGCACCATGAAGAATGGCATACCGACTTACTGGCTTGTTGCTCGGAACCTTCTCTTTGTAAGCCCCCTCTTCTTGTTTCCACTTTGTTTTCTCTGTTATATAGACAACTAGCGTTTTATCATTCCATACATTCTTGTTATCTGTAAAGTAGTGAATGATTCAATGATGGAACCGCAGGCTTGAAGACATTCTTTTTCCCGTGTGGTACTTTAGCCAAGATTGCCACTGCAGCAACTAACAGGCACATCTGTAAGGGATATATGTAATACCGTCTGCTTTATTATGATTCAATCCGTTACATGTGACAAAGCTGACTTTTTTTTCTTCACTCTCCCAGCTTCAGCTGAAGCATGTAATGAGCTAATGGCATATTCTTTGATACTTTCCTGTTGCTGCTACACTTGTTGTGTAAGGAGGAAACTCCGGAAAACACTGAACATCACGGTACATTCTCTTCCACTCCCTTAAATCTTTATCGATCTTAATAAGCTTTGGTCCCCAAACATTTATATGCTTCCAAGAAAATTGTTAGCATGCAAAACAAGAAAAAAGAAATTTTTTATGAAATTAGTAACTAAAATGGTATGATAATGAAAGGCCTATGTTTATGTCACACGATGTACATTTTTGGAGGAATGCTAATGTTTTCTTCTTTTGCAGGGAGGGTTCATTGACGATTTTCTATCTCATTTGATGTGTTGTTGCTGTGCTCTTGTCCAAGAACTTCGAGAAGTTGAGATTCGTGGGGCTTATGGTATGAATGATATAAATACATCTTAACAAAATTTTGGTTATAAACTTAAAGCACGAACAAAGATCGTCTCTTGATATGCTCGCAGGTACGGAGAAGACGAGAGTAAGCCCGCCTTCGTCGCAGTTCATGGAACATTGAATCATATCCAATTATACTAAAAGGTGAACAAAACAAAGCTATGTTGTCTCTCTGAATATGACACGATATTCTTCGTCATACTACTTACTGTCTTTTGTTCTTAAGGCGTTGTCGTATGTAAATTAGTTTGGGATTGCTTTCAATATTTCTCTGCAATTGTGTTGTGCATCATAGACAACAGACTAACTAATTCTCTTCTTTAACTTCTATCATATGATAGGGGTATTACGTTTACGGGTTCCCACTTGGACAAAAAGTTGACGTTTCGGGTCTAGATAGTAATTTTTTTTATATAATTTGAGGAACATGCTACATAGTCAATTTGCTTGTGGATAAACAATACATAGAAGAACCTAAGGAAATTCTTTGATGAAGAATACATCAGAGTTATCAACAGTAGCTAAAAGCCTAAATAAACGGCAAAAACTGATATGACTTATGATATAGCAATCACTTGGACAAAACTTGTCGGGACTTTTTTTAGGGATGCTTCCAAAATGCACATATGTACCTATCGATACCATTTACGTAACGTATGTTGTTAACTGTTGTTATCCAACGAAAATTGGTTCTACTTTTTCATTCCTCGGTCTGGAAATAAGAACGCTTTTTTGTTTTTACCCTAAATGTACAATGTGTGAAAAGCAATCTACTTTTAATAACGAACAATTGTAAATGGTGGTAGTGGGCTAGTACTTGAGGCCTTGTTGGTTCCTGTGGGGGAATCAAATTCTCTGAAGAATGGAATTATTTTGATATTTCATGGCTTGGCCACGCCACCTGTAGACGTAAGTGGTAAGAATACTGGATTTCGGGGATTAAAATCTCGATTATCAAAATACAATAATGAACAAATTTTTTTATTTTCAATATAGATCAATGACTTATGCAGATAATCATATAATTTTGATTATAATATTGATGTTATCTATTTTTTTTTTAATATATGTTTTTTTTTGTTAAAGAATTTTAATATATGTTTGAAAGATAGTATCTACTAATAAACTAATTAGACAGTTTATGCAAGGTCACCGATCAACGTTTTGTAAACTATAAACATTGTTCGATGAATCCTATCAGTGACAAGACTCTATTCCCCGAAGAAAGAGAGGCTTATCTATCTTTTAATATCTGAACAAATTGCTGGCATAGTTGTAAACAATAAAGATGGAAGGACTAATCCGTAATAAAAATTTGATGGGCTAATCTATGAAATATTAAGAATTTAGGGGCATTGTTGGAAACTTTCAAATTGATAGGGAGTCCTGCCAAAACGGCGTTTTGCGTTTTATTCCGGTCAGGGACAAACACTCCCCTTTGGCTTTTTTTCAGAAATCAAAACCATCGCTCTCTTCAAGTTTGCCGGAGATCGGGGAAAATCCAAAAATTCCGGAGAGAGCTAAAGCTCAAAGCTCAAATATGGTGAGAATAAGCAGAGTGTTACTAAAAGACGCCGGAATTGCAATCGACAAGACTCTGTCCGAGATTCTGGTGTGTCCTCTCTCCAAGCAACCCTTGAGGTTCGATTTCTCTCCTTCAGTTTTATACATTTTCTCATTAGTAGGCAGATTCGATGCGACTCCCAAGTTTCTGAAGAAATCGTTTAAGCAGTTTTGACGAATTGTTTTTTTTTTAAAAGGGTCTGCGAGAAGACGAAATCATTGGTCAGCGATACAATTGGTGTCTCTTTTCCTGTAAGCTCCAAAAATTCATGTTTTAGACAAGTCAATTTCAATCAAAAGCGTTTCCGATTTTTTCGATTCAGATCAGTTTGATTATTGCTGAAAAAAGAGAGGTGCTTGTGTTGGTGTTGAGCTCCATGAAAGTTAAGATGTATGGCTCGTACTAACTAAGGCTGGAAAAGTATTGCAATCCACTATCATATATGCTTTGAGAATCATATTTCGGATTATATGAACATGTTCTGTTCCCAACTTTTGATCTTTATAGAATTGTCAAATCGGTGATTGAGATAGATATATAGAGCTGGATTCTTTTTTTATTTCTCGTTTGCTTCATAGTAAATAAAGTTACAAAAAGAATCTATACTTTTTTTTTTGGTGTCGATTTACACTGATAGAATAATCATATGCTAATGTGATTGGTCAGCCGATTTCTTCTTAATCATATTCACTTCACCTGGCCACCACCATGATTCAGTGTTTAAGTCTTGGTTTTGCATCTTAATCATATTCTTCTTGTTCTTTTAGCTTTCACTTCATGTTCACGATTCAGACTTGATTTTGCTTCTCTTAACACGCCAGGTAAAAGATGGGATTCCATGCTTGGTTCCAAAGGATGGAAAAATACTTGAGGAGGCATCAAAAGCTTAATGATTTTTTGCTTTTGCACCCAAAAAAATAAAATAAAAATAGATCAGAGTGAAGGTAGCAACTTTGTTGCACCGTATCTGCAGTGACTTATCCTCATCAATGGTTCGTTCTGTCCTTATGTAATAGTTCTCTCTGAATTAAGCTTAATTTTTTTTATGGGAAATATTGATGTAAGCAATTGAAAGATACTCGAGGTGTGGTTTCAGGTGAATGTACCGACGTATTCTTCTTAAGTTTCTGGGTACTTAATTTTCTCGAAGTCTAGGAGCCTCATTGACTGGAATGATGCTAAAAGCATGATTTAAAGTAATGGATTCATATTTGAGGGGCTCTAAGAATTACCATATAATGTGAGGATATATATTCTAGTCATAGCCCCACTTTTGGTAACTATTCTTCTCTATCTTAATCCCACACCATATTAGCTCTTGATGTCCACTTTTGGTTGCTTAAAAGAATACACAACAAAATCTCAAATGACCGTAAGTGGATCAAGAATCTTCTTGGACATCATCAACTTGACTTATTATCACTGACAGGTAACTGATCTGGGACCAAAAGAGGATAAAACAATTCTCTTGATAAACCAAATGCACACAAACACACATAGTGTTTGTGATGATAACTAGTGTAGCAAAAGAGGATAAAACTATTTTTTTTGATAAACCAAATGCGTATAAAAACACCTAGCGTTTGATGATGACTAGTATAGCAAAAGCTACAGTACAATAAAATAAGTAAAACGTGGGTGGTGACCAGAACAGGACTAAACCTACCATGTTCTCTCTTGACCAAACCAAAAAAAGTGGGCTGACTTACTTCCCATTGGCTTGGAGGTTTCAATTTCATAGTGCAAGTTGTTGGCCTGTATGGTAGCCAGCCAAAGGAATGGACATTTTTGGTGATAATGGGGCAGGGAGAAACATAAATGCTCAGTGACAGGTCCCCTTCTCTCTTTTCTTTGGTATTGTCATCATTTAAGTGGAGCACTGTTTTGTCTATTGAATCTTTGCTTCTTTTGAGAACCAAATGCGTTAAATCTTTGCTTCTTTTGAGAACCAAATGCGTTAAACGGTAAAACATAACTGGTTTTTTTTTTTTTTTTTTTTTTAAACTAGCATTAGAAGAGGAAGAAGCCATTACTACAAGAATACAAGTAGAAGTTAGTACAGCAGTGAAAAAGGATTGAATAAGAAAATGACAGAACAAAAGAAGAGAGGCCCAGGACAGGTGATCCTGTGCCTTAGGAAATGGAAAGATCCTTTTCTCTTTTTACATCTTTTTTCCCCTGCAATATTGTAGTTCTACAAATTTAGCTTAGTTATACTTATAGCTAATAAAAAAAGGTACAAACTTTTCCATTTTTCACTTCTTCAAGAGAGACTCTCAATCCCCAAAAGAGAAAGGATTTGTATATTTCTCAAAATGGAGCTGTGGAAGACCGTTGAAGTGTGTTCTTTTTGGGTTGCTGATTTGCTGCCGCCGTTCTTAACTGCACACACACACACACAGAACTGAAGTATCAGAATCTTACCACTCAAAATATCACTGGACCAAAAAGTATGCCAAACAAAGACACTGCAAGTAATGCAGAGGATGTCTATTTCCTTATAAGTTGGTGAATATTGGTGTTGAGCTATACGGATTTAAAATTTTAAACTATTGATGTGAGTACTTCAAAAGGGTAAAAGAATAAGTACTTGTCTCTAATTGTTTACCTGATCTTGTTGTCTCTTGAGTCTTGCATTTTCTGCTTGCAGGTGAGCAACTTCAAGCTCTAACTCGTTTGTATAAGCCTGCAAATGAGAATCAAACCCCAGAAAACCTTTTGTCAGATCAAAAGCATTTTGATGGCAAAACCACATTTCTTATTTCTTCCCTATGAGTGAAAGAAGTAGAAGGTTAGGAGAGTCACATTCCTGTTTCCTAGCTCTGGAACGAGCCGCAGATTCTCTGTTCTTGATCATTCGCTTATGTCTTCTATTCCCTGAACCTTCATTGGACTCTTGGCCTCTTTTCTTACCAAAACAAGTGGATGTAACTAGAGCATCAAAAGGGGTGTTGAATGAGGAAACATTTGCGAGGTTATGCAGATTAGAGCTTGGGGTAACAAGAGGATCTTGGCTATCAAGAAACTCGAAGCCAGCGCCGGAATTCAAGCTCAGAACAGTTGCAGGAGGTGCCAAAGGAGAGCTGCTGAAGAGAGCAGTGACAGTGGTGGTATCGCCATTAGAGGCAGAACCCATGGTGAGGCTTGTGGGTATTGTTGGTTCCTGGTTCAAAGGTCTGTTGAGAAAATCTTGGAAGATGGAGTTAGGGTTTTGGCTCTGGTGGTTGTGGCCCCTGAACCTTGGCTCTTGGCTGTGTTGTGGATGTTGGCTGTGACGGTTAAGGTGGTGGATGGAACCAAGGTTGATGTCTTTCCAAACTTCTTCCATGGTGACTAGAGATCTCTTATGGGCTTGAGAGTCTTGTGAGTGTATAGGAGACGGTGAGAATGATGTTGAGAATGATGATGAGGATGAGGATGATGATGATGATGATGATGAGGATGGTGATGAGGATGAAATGGAAGAAACTTGGTTGAGAGTCTTGTTCTTGTTTGTAGCAGAGACTCTATGGTTTCTCTGATGCTTTGCTGATGACAACATTGGAAAAGAGCCAAAACTCACAGCTTTAGGCTTTGGTGTCAATTATCTTGTATCCTACACGGAGAGAGAGAGAGAGGGTGTGTAGAGATGGATGGGGAGAGAGAGTAGAGTAGAGTAGAGTAGAGAGAGAGAGAGCTCAGAGAACTTCTTGACTTTCGCCGGTCATTTCTGGAATGATGGTTGAGGGTCCAGAAGTAGAGACAGAGGGATTGAAACTATTCCAAAAGAAAAAAAAAAATAAATGAAGAAAAAAACATTCCATAACTATGTAATTAAAGTTTTGATGACTTCAATTTCAAAGTTTTAGAAAGATAAAATTGGATTCTCGCGTAACGCGCGGGGTATCCCTAATGATATTAGTGTTCATAATTTCAAAGTGAAGTTAGTGAAACTATTGTAATGATCCTTAAATGTAAAGAGTGGGTGGGGAAGAGATGCTTGAGAAAAGGCAGGCAAATAATTAAACTTTGGTTTAATCTCACTTTTTTTAGGATCACACCCTTTTATATCACTTTCAACTGTCAAGTGTGTTTTTATTTTTCTTGCTTAAATTTGGATAACTTTTTCCTTCATTTTGTTTCTAATCGTTTGTTGAAAATACCTTTTAATTCATGATAATCTATCTTGTCTTCCATCTCCAAAGGAGAGACCATTTTGCTTCTCATCGTTATTTTAATTACCACTATCAATACTAAAGTGTATTGGAAAAAAGAATAGTGTATATGTTTTTAGAACGTCAATTCCATTATAATGTATTTGTTAATAACTATGAGACTATGCATATCACTAGATACACAACAGTTTTAATTATTTTTACACGTCTTAGTTGACACTCAATAATGTGACATCTTAAATTACCCTGAAATATCTTTCTAGTTGAACTATCCATCTCTAATAGTATTAAATAAATGAAGATCGAAAAAAAGTTAGTAAATTTGTTGATGATCATTTTTGCCTAGTTTTTCTTTAGTTAAATTCTAAAAAGATATATGTCTGGTTATTATCCTTGGAATTCTTAGAAAGAGTTATGCTATGATGATTTATATATGCTATAAAGTGATTTTAATAAGTACAAGATCCTGAGTTTTAGGACCGACCGATCATCATGCACGTTACGATTCCACAGAATTTAAGTTATTTATTTCTCACACGAAACATATTTAAATCTTGATCAATAGAAGTACAGAACGATGCTAGGTTTAAAAACAATTTAAACCAAGATATTTTGTTTGCTGGATATTATCATGTAATTTAGATGTTTAAATGGATTATGTTTTGATTCTTGAATGATGATAAACCAGTTAATAAGCCAAATTAACAAATGATATTTGTTACATACACATGATGATATGAGTACATCCAGATATCTATCTAGATAGTCGAATATATATATATACATATGCTTAATTATGTGTGTGTATACGTATGTGCCCGTATCTTTGTTCAGTCTCCAAGTGCATATCTAGTCACGCTTTTCATTTCTTTTCTTTTTTATATTCTGTACTGCAAGTTTTTATTATAATTAAATAGGAGATTTTTCTTCTTTCTTTCTTCTCTTTCTACTCAACAAGATATAAACTATTCATTTCCGTACACATATGATTATAATATGCTACATTTTTTGGCGTAGTTTTTTTTATAAAATGAATATATTGCTCTGAAAGAAACGTCCCATCTTTGAAAATTTAAAGAGTACATTTGAAGGTGTTTATTAAAAAAAATAACTCAAACAAAACGCAACCTCCTCCTCAAGTACTCATATTTGTTCGAAGAGGCATTATTCGATGCTTATATCGCATCGCTTGGTTTTATGCCACAGTAAATTTGGTGGTGCATGTGCGTGTGCTCGAACCTCTTAACTGTGAAGATAAAGATTCTTAATTATCGTACCGTTTTTTTAAATGCATTGACCGTATTAAAACGAAAAAACAATTGTTGCACCTTCATTATATATTTTATATGCAATTGACATTAGGATAACTTTAGCTCGTTTCTTTTCCAAAATCGTGTCCCTTTTCTCGTTTTTTTGGTTCTTTGTCTAAAAATAAGCTAAATGGTAAATTTGATCCTTTGCTACTTTCTAGTCTCCTAATAATCTCCTCAGGGTTAGGGACTACGAGTTTGTTTACATGTTCAATACATTGAATCTTAAAATACAATCGATGTTTATTTAACGTTTAAGATAAAACACCAATATTGTAGATTTGTTTTAGCAAAAAAAATTATTATAGATTTGTTTTTGTCCACCACGGTCCACCATTACTGGATTTTTGGTTGTTTTTTTGTTTGTTTCTCTCTAGACTGAGCCAACAATTTTGAAAACATTTTATAAAAAAAGGAAGTTCAAAGTGCTACGATCAATAGATTTCAAATCATTTTTTGAAAATTAAAGTTGGGGGTATAAGGTAATGAGTGAATCCAAATGTCCATAGTATCACGAAATATGTAGAACTTGTGACTTGTATGAGTGACAGTGAGAGAGTGACATGTCATTTCTCAGGGGGATTGGACAGGTGTCAGCACTGTATTGCTCTGTCCCAAACTCCATCAAATCTTTTTCTCTGTCTTTGATATCCTATTTAGTTTACTTTAAAACAATGCATATAAACGGAAAATTTGCTTGCCAGATCCCAAAACAGTAAGTGTAAGCTATTCCAAAGGTTTTAATTTTTTTTATTTATAAGAATTTTCACTATTTAAAATTTGAGGTGTAGTATTCATGCAACTGAAATAAAAACGAAATCTTATAGAACAAAAAGATTAATCGTTCTTTCAAAAGGTAATATACCATTGTAGTTATCACCAATTAGCTTTTGAAATAAGATATTAATAAATTCAAATAAATATTTTATTTAACATATGCTTTATTATTGAGATTCTGAGACCGTGAAATGATGAAATTCATAATGTAAAAATTTGGAATATTGCATGAGGTACATAAAATTGAAAACAAAAATGTAACCGTTTTGTTGGGATTTCTTCTTAGCCATTCAAAGTTTAAACTGAACGTTTAAGTATATATAATTCAAATATTTCCACATGTTTGATATTAATATGTAAAAAGCTGGATACCTCTCAAATGAAATTAGAAATTTAGAAGCTTTCATTGTATAAATTCAAATTACAAAAACTAAATAAGAAAATCAGTGAAAACACACAAAACAGAAGAAAAAGGGTTTCTAATAAATAACCTGTTTGCAGGAAACGGGTTGATAGAGTCGAAATTGTTGACAAAAAAAAAGAAGACTCGAAATCAACCAGGGCAAGTGATTTGGTAATCAATAAATAAGAGTAAACGGAATTTATTATACTCGTATTTATTGATTTTCGTTTACATTCAAATAATTAAAATTTAACAAATAATATGAATGACCCGGAGAGTTTATGACCGTTGGATTCTTTAGTTCCACTGGTCCGTACAATAATCGTCTGTCTTTAGGTTGTCTCTAGAGTAGACCATACGGACACAAAGTAGTCGTAATAATTTACTACCAAAAGTAGCAATAAAATAAATAAGCAAAAACTTGGAGTTGAAAGAGCCAAAAAAATGCTAACCGTTGGATAGTGAAAATGGTGGGATTGTGGTACTTGACATCTCCAAATGTTAAAGAAGAATTGGACAACTTTCTGTATTTTTTGGTGCGTTTTGTGAATTAGGGTTCACTTGCACTGTCTTTTTAGTCTGTGAATACTAAATTCTGATTTTTGGTTCATAGAGATTGTGACATTGAACCTATTCTTGGGTTGTTTCAGTTTATTTTCCACATTTAGGTGAACATCTAGAATATTTTGATATATGTGATTGTTTGGTTTGTCTAATTACAACAAAATATAATGACTAGATTGAGTAGAGTCTACATGGCTTTGAATAATAAGTAGATCGTAGTATTAGGCTTCAGCTTAGTCGTGAGAGTGAGGGCTGAGTAAAGTCGTTTTTCATTTATTACGAAATATAGATATCTAGTTGTTAGTATGTAAAACTTCTTAATTCGCTTGAATAATCTACAACCTTTACCCGAAAAAGTACCCAACTTGTCTAAATTAAAAGTGAACACTAAAACCAAATATCTTAATATGAATCTGCACACATGTGAAAAAGTTGGTCATTCGCTACACTTAAAAAGTTATGAGTAATAACTTTTGAATACACATGATTTTTTGTTGTTGTTTGGTTAATTGCCCTTGAACTTTGTTTTGAAAGGACATTATTTCGATAATCTAATCTAGTAACCTTTTTTTTAAAACGGATGTAAGTTAAACTTATAAGAATGAAATGTAGTGTTCTTATCACATTTGCAGATGAAATATAAGATTTAACATCGCAAGATATATAATCATAGAACGACTCGCCGAACAATTTGCTAAATTGTTTAAAAGTCCCATTCAAAAAAACCATACCCTAAGACAACAGTAGAACGTTAGCTGAGGCCTGAGCGTGAAGCACCACGTGTTTGTTCATATTCACATCAAAGGCAATATACGCAAACGACAATACAACACCGTTTGGTACATGATTTTGCGTTTTCTCTTTTGTTTTTTCGCTTTACCATTTTTGCTTTTTGTCACACATTTGAATTTCGTCCTCTCAAATTATTCACGAGTCTTCTCTTAAGTTAAACTTTTCTCTTTACTTACACTCTTCTCATAAATAAACCCTTCTGCAAATTGCATATATAATAAATCTTTAACATATTTTCATTTATACTTTAGTAATTCAAAAAACGCCCTTGAATTCGGTTTTCACGTTTAACGTTTGATCATTTTTTATTTTTAATTATTTCACACGTAATTGCTTTTATTTTGAGTTCGGTTTTCACTACTAAGGTACAACCTAAAAATTTAAAGACGGTAGAGGGTTCGAGTCATAGTTTCGAAAAGAACAAAAGTAAGGATATAGGGGTCAAGAGTATACTAGCAAGCAAAACCGAAAAATCCCGGACCACAACAATGGTTACAAGCAACCATCAATGACCATCGTATGTAGCAAAGTAGAATAAACATAAATAAAAAGTTATTAGCATCCACAAAAAAAAAACCCAAAAAACATAAAAACCATAAATATGCTAAAGTTTCCGCTAGCTAGAAGAATCATAAATGTTTGATCCTTTTTCTGTTTTCATATGGGTCTCTTCTTTTTTTGGTTTTATGCCTTACCTTTATCCTTCTCTCTCTTTTTTTTTTTTTTTTTTTTTTTGTTTCCCCTTCCTTATTGTTTTTCCTGATTTTGGGCAGGACAAAATAATATATTTCATGTCCAACACTAACCACCACCTCCAAACATGATGGTTCAACGATTTGCACCATCTGATTCTGAGCCATTACGGTTGCTCATCGGATCAACACCAGAAGACTGTTGCTGAGCATCTGAAACAGCTTTGTTTTCTGGTTCAGCAGGTTGCAACTGACTGCTCGAACCACCAACTCGATCCGCCGAGCTCTGACCAATAACCAAGTTTCCAACTTGGCTAGCTACTGCATCGACAGATCGGGGGCTCGAAACCGCAGGGCCGCTCCCTCTAGGAAGCAACCAATGTTGCCAATTATGGCGCTTTCTTATTCTGTCACCCTAAGCAGAAGAAAAACAAGCAATATGCAATCAAATATAAGCAAAAGTTTTCGGAGCAGTGCACACAAGAAGGAAGCTTAAATATCAATGGCGTATTATATATTCCTTCTCAACTGATAATGATAATTCCATATTTTCAGAATCAAACAGTTAAGGTTGCACATTATCACAAAGTTCCGTAAGCTCCATCTCTAAATGAACCGATGTCAATAACACTTAGGAACACACAGACAAGACATACCTGCACTTCAACATAAGGTGAGCCATGTAGAGCCTCCACTATCTGCTGGATACTATCTGTAAGTTCTGCAACCTGAAGAAGGAGAAAAAAGAAGCAACACCGATAGCTCAAAGTCACAGAGAATTATACAGTGGTATTAAGCAACAAAGTGTTATTGTAACTAGGATTAAGAGAAGGAAAAACAAAAGCAATGCATTTTGATGCGATATCGCCAAATGAGCGAGCAAAGAAGTATTCATGCTCGAATTTCTTATTTTATAAATACATCAGCTGGTAATATATATCATCTGTCTTAAGAACAGAGCCCATTTGCTGAAAGTATGTACATGCATAGCACACCTTTATATAATCCGTCACAAAAAAAGTTTCTAATGTCCTATTGGCACGTTCAGTCTAACCCTCAATGTGAGTCAAAAAAAAAGTTTTTGTGGAATTCTACAGGCGTGAAAGTAATGACCTTTAGAATGAAATAAGATATACTGTTTTGATATTATAAACTGAGAAAAGTGATTGAGGCCATCATGCAAGACAGCACATCCTCAGAAAATAATTTACCTTTTTGAAACCAGCAATCACACGTAGCGGAGCAAAACCCTGATCATCCATGTGCCCACGAAGGTATGTGTCTCTAATCAAATTCTCTTCACTGAAACAAAAGAAACATTTGCATCTAAATTACTTCTTCCCAACAGAGAACTGAGCAGTGGGAAGAAAAAAAAATTCAATAGTAAGGTACTACCTAAAATAATAATGAATTTGCTTCTGTAATTTCATGTTCAAGGGAGGATCTTGGACATGGTAGAAGACCGGAGGAGGTGCAAGAGGTGTGATGAAAGGCATACGGGGATAATATGGCGACGCAAATTCTGAAATGAAGAAGACGCGTTAGAAGAAACAAAGGAAATTCAAAGACCTAATCTTCAATGGGTCTCACCAGGGGGGAAGGGCACAGGACTGCCAAAAGGCTGAATAGGCTGAGCAGCCATCAACTGAGGAGGAATTGGCTGAACAGGTGGAGGTGCATGTCTTACAAATGCTGGATTGCCTCTTTGTGACTGTGCGTTTCCATCTCTCCCATTGAAGTTTCTCTGGAAAGACCAATTTTGATTACCGTGCTCTTGATTGCGCCTCCCACCATGACTTTGGTGATGGTTACCATTTTGGTTCCTGTACGAGTCTCGTTGTGATGGGTTGTCAGAACCACCGTGGCTTTGTGATGCAAAGCCATTCTTCTGGTTTTGGCCTCTCGGAGAAGGGTTGTGCGAAGGCAATTCGGCAAGTGAGCCCTGCGCTGATGGTTGAGAAACAGTACCATTAGCAGCGGATCCAGATGCGCCATTCCGTTTAAATGATCTCTGGCGCGAGTGATTTGGTGTTGGGTTAGGGTTTGTGCGGCCAATTTGCTTTGGTGCAGGAGCAGAAGCATTTGCGATTCCCTAAATCAAAGACATAGAAGCATTTTCAGCCTTCAATCAGGATAAGGAAAATCATCGACAGTAGAATAACACATGCACAAGCGAAGGCGTACGTCAATACAAGCATTTTGTTTCCGACATTACAACTTCAAAAAAAAAGGAACTTTGAACTGAAGAAACAACTCAAGACTTTCATATCCGCGGGTAAAAGATAGCTCAGTGGCTCAACATGCAATCGCAATCCAACAGGAAGGCATTAAGACCCATAATATCCAGATGCTGAAGTTATATGTTGATACATGGCTGTATACACAATCCAAAAGGGGAGACTTTGGCAAGCTAAAGATTTGTTTCAACAAAGAGCAGTGAGAAACAATGAAAGCTACAAAAGTTTCAAGAGACAACACCCATCAAGCAACAACTATGATACACAGTTATGTTCATTCGTAACAATAGATCATATGAAGAAGCTAAAACTTCCATCTACTTTCATGAAGCTAATTAGTAACCACATAAACAATAACAAGGTCATGATGATAATCATTCAAACCTGAGAAATGGGGACAGATGGTGATGATACTGGTACATCGCCGAGACTTTTTAAAGAGTCAGAAGAAGACTTGTTCGAAGGAGCTTTGGTAGCCTCATTGAGAGCAGGCCAAGACGAAGCTCCCATGACAGGTCCGACCTCAGAAGCCCCATTAGACGGCCTTTTCCAAACTGGTTTCTTTCCGGCATTGCTCTGACCACCAGATTCCTCCGATTTGTCGTCTCCAGCAGCCGCCTCCACCGTCAAAAGAGAAGCAGGTGGAGCCACGGAAACAGAAGCAATCGGCTCGATCGGGGCCTTGGGTTGAGGGGAGGAAGGAGCGGCGGCGATCGTCGGCTCTGATTCGCCGCGGACGACATGGGACCACGGGGAGGAAACCTGCCGAGAGGGACGGCGCGATTGTGCAGCGGCAGCGTTGGGGCTGCCGTGATTCTCGCTCGTATGACGAGGAGACATAGAAGAAGAGGAAGAAGAACTGGAGTTATTGGTAGTGGCGGACACCATCATTAGGGGACAAAAATTAGGGTTTGTTAGAGAGTCGATGAAGCTCCGATCGACAGTATCTAAATAAACGATTATCGATTAACCCCAAAAAAAAGTTAGCAGTGAAATAATCCGACGAAACCTCCGCGATTCAGAAAATTAGGGTTAGGGTTTGGGTAATGCAAACAAAAAAAAAAGGAGACACACCGATTTTTCCAAAAACAATTCCCAGAAGGAGAAGACGATGGAGCAGTGTAGTCTCCTCTCTCTCTCTTTACTTTTTTTTCCGTTCTCTTTTTTTATATGTTCTTTTTAATCAAATTATTATGTTAATCACTTTTCCGTTCGGATTTTCTTCGCTACCGAGTACCGTGGTACTTCGAAGTTACGAAATTACCCTTGGGGTAAACACAAGAAAAAAAAACACAAACACACATTGTTTCATTCAACGAATCTTATTGGCTGTGAAGCTTTGTGGAGGATTGTTGACGTTTACATGTGAAATTACCGAGTAGACTAAATATGACACGCGTCGTTTAGCGATTAGTTAAAACAATTCACTCGCTTAATATAGGTCAAACAGGTAAATCATTTTTTTTTTGTCTACCAAATAGATCTTCCTTACATTAACTAGAAATCGTGTTTTTAATTCTATACTTTAAAATTATATTTTTTATAAATTTTGGAAAATACTCCAGCATATGTTCTACTGTAGATTTGTTTCTTAAAATATGGTTTTTTTTGGGGAGAGAAAGTCTGATCATCAGACGATCGCTTAAAGAATTACTGATCAAAAAGTTACTTCAGAATATTTAGTTCCAAAATCATCTCGTTTTATATACGTAAAGGATATCTTAACTATTATATTCTTGAAAGTTCTTAACTTATTACATTTAGAATAGAGATTCGTTGTATCTACTATAATATATGCAGTTTTGGTAGTAAATATATCCATGGTTAATGCTGAACTAATATATCAAAGGAGTACAATTTTAATTAGTTCTTAAAAACTATCTTTAATTATTCATTAGTTTAAGATATTGGTAACAAGAGACTTTGTATTATTCAAAATATAATTAAGTTGACTACTAATTGGATAATATTGATCTCGTAATGTTGTCATCTTGATTTTAATGTACGTATATGGTTGTTGACAATAACAATGTCAATGGTTACAAATCTCTAGCTTCCAGTGCATCAGTTTATTATAAAAAGAACAGAAAGTCTTGTGACATGGTCATGGACTCATGTTGGTGTAACTATGTTTACATCTTGGACAAATGCATATCTAAAAATATTTTAACTACCTTTCGGAATACGAATCTTTTATCACAATATAAGTTACCAGTTCATTATCTTTTTGTTCATTTACATTCCAAGAATGTATAGAGATAACTAATAAGAATATATCATATAAAGTTATAAATGGTCATATATACAATCCAATGCTTAAAATTCATCTAAAACCAATATTACATTAGACAAATGATGTTTATGATCTAGTTTTAGTTGATTAAAGTTTTTTAACATAAAAAATAAACATTAGAGAAATGATCAAAATTGAAAAAAAAAACATTTTTTCGGTCGTGACAGGCGTTGCCACTTGCCAAATCAGGTCATCAATGTGGAAAGCATTTTGTTTTTCTTTTGAATATTCAGCGTTCTACTCCATAAACCACATTATCTTTAGGTTCGGTTTACCTCGATTAAGGGGCAAAAAATCGTCGAAATTAGAGATGTTAGTGATGAGTGGAAAAACATATCATATATTCTCTATAGTCTCGTTATGATACAAACAAAAAATGGCTCTTATGTATTGGAATGGGCTTGAAGAAGCTTACTACAACTCTACAAAAGTGGAAGTAATATGAACACAAATCTGAAGAAAGACCAGAGCTTTACTGTTTTAAATCTTTGGTTGGAGGAAGAGCTACTTTTGGAGATGGTTTTGTTTGTTTTGTGTGGCTCAGAGGAGTTATTATGAGTCGCTATTCCGGCTGCCATTGCCGGAGCTACTGCCTCTGTTTTGTTTGCTCCGCCAAGAGTTGTCTTTGTCTCTTCAATATCATAGCCTGCGTTATGAGTTATATCATTAGTGAGAACACAACAGGGTTCAAGTGATCTAACAAACGTAAGAGCACACTTACAGTCAAACTTTTTCCAAGCTAAGATGAGTTTCTCTCTGTCGAATACTACACGATACCCGGTCATGTAGTTTTCTGTTTCATTAAGAGTAAACAATGTGAGCTCATAATTTACAGGATGTTCGACGATCAATATATATATAAAAAAAAAAACTGATCTTACGTCCGATTATGTTGAGTTCAGAGCTTTTGACAATGGCCAGGCAATATACAAGCTCACCCTGTGAAAATGCAATGCTACAGAAAGTATTAAGGTTCCGTTGAGGAAGACAAGGAACGATAAAGAAAGAAGTACGGAGAGAGAGACAGAGATTACGAATGACCTCGGTAGAGATGACGATTATAGGATCATTGATGGTGAAGTGGCTGTTTTCTTTCATTGTGAGGCTTAAACTCGGTATCAAACTGGCATTCGCATCAGTGCTGATCACACCGTTTACAAGAAACATGTTTAGATTTGAATGGCAGAGACAAAGAAACATCTGAGTGTAGGTAGATACAAAGACATACCTCATGTCATAGCAATAGTCGAAGGGAATCCTTGGATCCCGTGAATGGCGCTTATCTTGGGCCTGAGAATGGAACTGGAGACAACAATGTGAATCTTAGAGTTATCAATAATTGAGCATCAAGAGTAACAGAAAAAGATTTATAATGGTGTTTAGATGCTTACACTCTCAGAGACTGTAGTATACATCGGATCCACCAAATAAGTAAATGATGTGCCAGTGTCAAAGAGAGCTGTAAATTCATCATCTATTAGAGTTGTCCCCACACGTACTCGAGTCACCGTGATGTTGTAGTTTGGGCTGCATTGAGTTTCCAAAACGGTTAATAGGCACATTCTTGGCATATACGATTTTCAAAAACGAACGAAATTTAGCTTATAAGTGAATTACCACTTACTGTGAAGGATTCAGATTAAACGGTGTCTCTTCCTGATCAGGACTACCTTTATCCCCAAAACTGATCCTTCCGACTCCGTCATGTCCAAAACACATGGAGAAAGAATCAGCAACTAGACCTTCCCTCGCCAAAACACTTGGTACCGATATCTTTTCCATGCCAAGACCAAATAAACCATTTGGTGCCGCAATGTCAAGAAAAGAACCGCTTTGCACCTGTCCACACCTGCACAGGTTTCACATCTCAATAACTTACTGCATTGAACTGAACACCAAAGAAGCAACGTGAAGATGTTAACTGCTACTAACCCGAATGTGACATATGCCTCGACACGCTCTGGATTCTTATCTTCGGTTGTTAAGTGCATAACATCTTCCATAAGAATACCGGATGTCGAAGTTTGAGCAGAGACATAAGAAACCATATAAGGGCAAGTGCTGAATGTTCCAAGGCATTGATTACGCTGCGCACATAGACTGTTGTTGCAGGTGACCTTCTTGTTTGTGGTTGAAACTTTAGGGTTGTAAATACTCAGTTCAAATTCCTAAACTCAGCAAATAGAAACCCAGAATTAAGGATTCAATCATGGAAACTTACAATTCAACTGCTAAGATCGGTAAACTCAACAACAATTGTGAATGCTAAAAAAGTGTTAACATACAGAAGCGTAAGCAGCTCCTTCGGTTGGTGCGCATTTGCCGCAATCACAAGGGACCCAAAAGAGGTCGCTTCCTGTATCGAGTGCCACCATGAATCTCATTCCCGGAGTACCCAATTTCACAGTCGTGTAGTGCAAACTGAAATCAGAAGATTGGAAAATTCAGACTTATCCTGAAATTGGGAATTGTTGAGTAACAAAAATGCACTTACAATCCGAGAGAGCTGATACGAGAAGTTGAATTTCCGTCGGAGAAAGTGAGTGACGACTCCGATTCCGACTCCGAGAGGCGTCGTCCGCGGATAAGTCGATCACGGAGAGCAAGAGCGTTGTAGTAATCAAAGCTTCCCTTAGGGGGGAAACTACCAAATCTTCCGGTTAAATCGGACCACCGCTTGACTTCATCGGAGAATCGGTGGTGCATCTCGAAGGTGAAGATTCGACCATTGCAGCTCCCGAAGCTCAGTAACGTCAAAATCGGGATCAAGAACAGAGTACTCTTGAAGAAACAGGCCGACATTGTGAACAATTTTTCTCTCGAACTCGACACAGATTATCCTACTTTCCCGGAGGTTTTTCTCGGGAAAACAAAGAGGTTTTGAGATACCATTACACCAGAAACCCAAGAAATATTCGAAAAAAATCAAAATGCGTGATTTAGATCTTGGAATAGTGAGAAATTGGGGGAACAGAAAAACAAAATTAGGTATATTTTGAGGAACGAGGAAAAAGAAAAGTGAAACTTTGAGAGGAAGAGAAAGAGAAGATCTATGTTCTTCTTCGTTAGGTGAGTGTTAACAACAGTCCATGTGTTGAAAAGAAAACTGCGATCCACTGGGTCCCACTCTCACTGCTAATTTTCTGTTTTTTCTTCTGACTTCTTCTTAATCCCATTTTTTAGCAAAGATTGTATATATTAACTAATGCTTAATGATAAATGGCAAGAGATAGTGACGAAACAAAAGTGATACTGCTCTCAAAAGATGGATTATACACAGAGAGATATACAACAACGGTTTAATTGGTCAAAGAACAAAACTAATAAGGGCTTAAAAGCCGTAGAATCATCTGTTGTTGTAAGTGTCCCAATCGAAGTTGGGTTGAGAATAAGCTTCGTAATCCACTGCTCCATCGACGATGCTATCGACGGTCTGGATACTCCGGAGAAGAGCCGGGTGAAACCGGTCTGTATCCGAAGGCAAAAGCTTGTACATCACAAGCACCCCAAGTGTGAAAATCGCTTGAAGCTTTGTCGAATCTCCTTTGACAGAGAAGAAGAAGAGCATCGAGACGAGGTACAGGTCAACGCAGAAGCGCATGATGCACAAAACCGTGTCCATTAGCTTTCCTTCGTTGCCTGCGGGGAAGCCACGGACTCTGTACACGTATAAGAAGTTGTATTTGTCGACAATGTATCTGTAGCCAAAGTAAACCGCGCCTACAGGGACCACGAGTGGAGCGAATGAAGAGTATATCATTGTTAAGGCAAAGATGGTAAGATTGAAGGCGTAGTATTGAGCAAAGTCGAATTTTTGTTTAGGGATTGGTGAGGTTCGGCTGATTGGGTACTCAGAGAGGTTTTGGCTCATAGGTTCGATGTCGCCGAATCTTGGAGATTCAAACATGTTTTCAGGGAGAAGTGGCGTCTCAAGGTTGCTGCTTGGGTCTTGATTTTCCAAAGGGTACTCTTCGTTTTGCTCGGGGACTAGCTGAAGCATGTCGTTCTTCCTGAATTTCTGGATTTTTTTCTTGATCCACGGGATTGGAGCGAGTAGATCGAAGGAGATTCCCAAGAACGTGCTTGTGATGAGGAAAGCTAGAGCAGAAACGCATGACCTTGATAAGAAGGAAGGGCTCATGTATTCTTCAATCCTCTTACAATCCTCGCCGTCTAAATAGCACCGGCTCATTTTCAAGAGTGCGCTTTCCAGTGACGACTCGACAAGAGCCTTGAGCACGATGAGGTTCACAAGGAAGAAGCAGACCATCTTCAACAGAGCTGCTCTTTGTTCCCCTGACACTGTCAAGTGCCGCTCAAACTTGGAAAGATACGAGAGAGCAGAAGGGATCACAATGTACATGCTAACAAATATGAAGACGTTGGGCATGAATTGAAAAATCAGAGATCCAATCCAGCCAGAAGTTTGCACCCAAGTGAGCCAAGACTGAGCACTATCCAATGCTTCAGCATTGAAGATTCGCCCGGCACTCACCAAGGCACTAATCAAGGCCAATGGGGAGCTGAAAAACACAAGGATCAACAATAGAATCGTATTCACAATCACTCTCCGTACGATAAGAGCGATTTTTGTCAATCCCAGATGATTCCAGTAAATATCAGTTGCCAAGGGTGCTCTCTCGACTTTCCACTGGTTTCTCTGTAGCCGCAGCTCTGTGACAGAGAAGAATTTTCCAGTACGCCTCGATCTCTCGTTTCTGAAATCCTGAACAGCCTTATTAGCCGTGTACACATCCTTAAACATCACAAAAGCAACCCCAGCGCCTTGTGCTCGTCCTTCTTTATAAGCCGCTAACTGAGACTCCAAATCAGCTCTCAATTCTTGCAGCTTCCTTAGTTTTTCATCATCTGTAAAACCAAATCGCGCTGTAATCTGAGACCACAATACCTTCACCCTAATCCACAAAGCACCCACGCAAGACAGTAACCCTCCATCTCTAGCATTCTCAAACTCTTCCGGCAAAAGCCTAGAGTCCATCTTGGCAACTAACCAAGTAATCTCGTCTCGGACACGAACCAGCTCTGTAGCAAGATCATCCAGAGCACACAAATCCATGGGAACAATAATCTTGTAAACTTTCCCTGGATACTTTTGCCTTAAGCACTCTTCAAACTCAACTCTATCAGACCCTAAATTCTTAGGCAAACCCTGCACCATTATAGTGAACACGGCAGTAGAATTTGCATTGGGGTCGCTGATATTCCCATTCCCATCTCTAAACCTGGTGAACTTGAGCCTAGCTTCAATGGCAGAGATTCCGAAATGCGAGATGATAACAACAATGACAACAAACACAAAATGAAGCCAAAGCAGACCTGAACCTTTCTTAATATGGGTAATCATCGTTTTGGAGAGCTCGTCACTCAGAAGAGCAGTCCCAGCATACAGATTCAACGGAAGCATAACCGAAACAGCCAAAAGAGCAATGGAAAAAAGGAGCACGAAGCTACCACCTTCGATTAAGAGGAACTGAGCAGCATCGGCGCCACAGTGGCGAGCGATCTCGCGACAAGTGGCTTTCCATACGGCGAGGAGCTTAGAGAAGAGAGCAGAAGGACCAGGCATACGACGGTGATCGCTGCGTAGCTTCACGAATAGGAAGATGGAGACGCAGCATAAGAGCCCAATCACCGAGATATTAAGCAGGTACTGAATGTTACCGTACCAAGCATCGGGGATCTCGGGCAAGTCGCCGGAAGATGGAGGAGGAGAGAATGAATCATCCATGACAATGGATGAAATCGGCGGCATCGCGGCTGCCGAAGAACTGCGATGCATCGCGAAATACTCCTACCAAATTAAAGCAACCCAGATCCTCAATTTCTCTTTCGGTTCACGATTTATCAAAAAATGGTTTAATCACGAGAGATTTGAGGATTTAGGGTTTGATTTCTGGAGTAAATCGACAGAGATGATGGGGAAAGTCGAGGCATATATGGTAGAAAGTAGTATTTGATGATAAAAGGAGGACGAAGATGAAACGCGATCGCGGTTTGGAATCATTGTAATTATTATTTTGCTCAATAATGTGTTTTTGGATATTTTTCGACAGGCCCCTCTATTTTTAATAATTTAATTAGAAGATTTTAAAGATGAGAGAAATGAGATAGCTTCGTCCATCGAGAAACGTCGACAATAAAAAGGGGCTAAAAGCGCGTCGGTGACTTGTACTCTCCATCTCTTCTTCCTCTCTTTCACATCTCTTTTCTCTCAAATTCTCGACCCACAAGGAAAATCATCTCTACCTTGCGCAAATTCATCAGCCATGTCGTACGATTACCTCTTCAAATACATCATCATCGGAGACACAGGTCACCCACCACCGATCATCCTTTTCGTTTTGCCAGTTTCTATTTTCCAATTCCTAATTTCGATTTTTTCTGGGTTGTATCGATTTCGTGGCGATTTTTCATGGGTTTTCGTTGTATTGTCCTTCAGGTGTGGGAAAATCGTGCCTGCTTCTGCAATTTACTGACAAGAGGTTCCAACCAGTCCACGATCTCACCATTGGTGTCGAGTTTGGTGCTCGGATGGTCACCGTCGATGGACGCCCCATCAAACTCCAAATTTGGGATACCGTACGTTTCTGTCTCTGTCTCGCCTTTTCTCTTATATTGGTTTAATCACGTTTTTATTGATTTAGAATTGTTTTACTCCAAGGTAGATGTGATTAAGAAGATTAATTGTCATAATTAATGCATTTTATAAGTATTTAGAGAAACAATGCCGATTAGAATTGATGATGCTAGTGTTTTTTTTTTTTTTTTTTTTTAAAATCATGCCCAAGGACGAAAAGTGGGAAGTTAATTAATCAATTCACCGGCTCTTGATCAAGTATTGTAGGCGTATCTATATGATTATTCACCAGTCCCCCTTTAATTGAAATTGAGAAGCTGAGTTCACCAGTGCATTGGTGATTTTTTCAGTCCTTGTAGTGTCTTCTTCTGGTGGATATGTCGTGATTCTTTGATTTCTTTTCTAAGTCGTTTGTGGTGTAGTTTTTGTTTTTATGGGCTTGAGTTGTTTATGTTTGGTTTATGTGGCTTCTAGAGTTCAAGGTTGGTATGATGTGTTGTTTATGATTTAACCTAGCGTATGATGTTGTAGGCTGGACAAGAGTCTTTTCGATCCATCACCAGATCGTACTACAGAGGAGCAGCCGGAGCTTTACTGGTTTACGACATCACCAGGTTAGTATACTTTTCATGAAATTATACTTTAGCTCGAAGCCTGAATGTCAATGTCCGGCACGGTTTTGGAAATGATCATTTCTATATATGTTTTGGAATTTTGAGAGGCATATACGACAACAGTTCTATGATCTTTCGGCTCTGAAAACTTAAAAAGTATTGTTCTTTGCCTCCAGGAGAGAGACGTTTAACCATCTTGCGAGCTGGTTGGAGGATGCTCGGCAACATGCAAATCCTAACATGAGTATTATGCTGATCGGGAACAAATGTGATCTTGCTCACAAGAGAGCTGTTAGCAAAGAGGAAGGAGAACAGTTTGCCAAAGAACATGGACTGTTGTTCTTAGAAGCATCTGCAAGAACAGCTCAAAATGTTGAGGAGGTGATAGATTCTTCCTTACAGTTCTTATTCCCCCACCCTGTTATCTGGTTGTTGTCACAGAAAATTCTGAAGTAATTGTCTCCTAGTTTCTGCATTTAACACGTCGAATATATCTATCAACAGGCCTTCATAAAGACTGCAGCAAAGATCCTTCAGAACATTCAGGATGGTGTCTTTGATGTATCCAACGAGGTATTTTCCCTACTGAATTGAGAAGTATCTTCTGGTTCTAATGGTTATATTACTACACATCAATGGAATCTAGTCCCTTATGATTAATTGTGTTACTACTACGTGATTCAATTCCCTTAATCTTTGTGGATTTTGCAGTCATCAGGCATTAAGGTGGGCTACGGGCGTCCTCAAGGTGCAGCTGGAGGAAGAGATGGTGCGATCTCACAGGGAGGTGGCTGTTGTGGTTAAAGATCTCTGAAGATGTGTCAACGGTCACACACATATTCTGATGTAATCTGGTGATTCAGAAACTACTCTTGCTTTTTATTAATCTCTGCAATTGGAAACACCAGAAATGTATAGTTTCACTTTCTTTCTCTATTTTCCTGTTTGTCTTTACCAAAAAAACTAAACTGGTGCATTTGAGAGTGAACAGCCTGATCTTTATAAACCAAGCAGGCGTTGGCTTCTTTAAATCAATTTGTTGCTTTGCACGTAAAGTCAAAGCTCTTCAGGCTCTAAAGCAATTTGAAAACAGAGTAATGTCCAATCCTATAGTCGAACTTTCTCCTTATTCATCTAAACGAGTGATTAAAATAGCATACCCGGATGGTTTACAGAGATCCTAATAAGCAAATAGAAGCAGAAAACTAAGAAGCCATAATTAGTCTCTCTGCTTTTACCGCCTATTAGGCAGTGTCCCTCGCTGAGGCCCTCGCTGAAGCCGCAGGGTATTGTATGTACGCATCACAAACATCAGTCTCGGATCATCCTCTGGTATTTCACAATTCTGTGATTCACACACCACAAAAACCAAAAAACCCATTCACAAACTAATACCAAGAAAGATTTGAGTTTATGCTCAATTTTGAAGATTGAGAAAAGGGATTTTTTTTTTTTTTACTTTCAATCCTTTGTAGTAAGCGTCAACAGCATCTATAGTGGGTGTAATATTCCGAGCTTGCATCAGATCCCATATCATATTGGCAACCGTGTACCCGCCAGTCTGCCAAACAAAAAAACAGAGTTTTAGTTTCACTAAGCCAACTCCTTGCAGTAAAAGATATTTTCAGAGTTTTTTTTTCCGGAAATCGGAACTACAAAGATTTTTTACCTCTTCCCCAGCGGCTTTGAGTAGCAGATTGCTTCCAGTTCTTGGATCTAAGAAGAAATTACGATCGTTCATCTTGACCTGCATTTACGAAAATTGTCATATCATTGGCCAGCGTCTATAGAAACTTGGTTAGTTTATATCATGGATTCTTCTTTCAGAACAGCTCGATCCAATAAGCATTACCAGAGTGTCTTGAGCAATCTGCATTCCTTCACTGGTGTATTCTGTCATGGCTCCCTCTATAAGCGTCTGTAGCAGCAACAATAAATAAAATGTATAAAGGTCATCCAAAGATATGCTGAACCAAGTAAGCGAAACAAGACAGAGAAGCGTAATAATAGTCTTTGATTCTTTGTGAATATAGTTCCAACTCTATATTCATAAGGTGGGTTTTAGGATTGGGGAATCGACAAAATTTGTTTTATAGAAGTTATCATTCCCGCACTATGTATAGAAAAAAAAAACAAGTTTGCTCTTCAAACAAATGTTGAAACACCAAGGATGAGGTCAGATGATAGTTACCGCGTAGAGTTCCATGGCAGGGATTTTGCCTGAGTTCATGTATTCCTCAAACCATTTGAGACCACTTTTGAAGTCTTTCGAGTGTAGATAGCACCTGTGTAGATATAAAATTGGATGCAGATATGATAATCATGTTTTGATTCTCAAGGAGAGTTATAATGTAATATATTAGGGAAGTAACAAAAGTTATGTTGGTAACCAAAGACTGTCTTTTAACTATGACAATCCCAAATGTTCTAAACATCTAAATGCAAATTTCATAATAGCATACGTATACTAGGCCAATTCATTTGTGGATAAAGATATTGGGACATAACAGCGACGTCTAATATTGTCAATCGAAGAATCACAGAGGATGCTTTATTGTACCTCATAATTTGTAGCACGCAGTAAGTGTCAGTGTCTTTTCCGTCTTTCTTAAGCATCTCAAGAAGAGCTTCCGTTGCCTGCCATGGAGAATAGCTGGTCAGATGCAAAAGTCAACTCCGAAACTGGCTTTTGTTACTCACAGATTAGAACATTCCCCTATAATTCAGGACATTTTCGAATATACAGAAATCATATTACTTTTACATCCTTTAGATCAGCGAGAGCACTGAATGCTACGTGGTGCACGGTCAAATTCCTCTGCAGAAACCTGCCCCTGTGGGCATATTCAGCGGTTGGAATATTGTACAGCTCTTCTTCACTGATGCTAAACATCATATCTTCTGCACTCTTCCTTGATGAATCAATTGATGACCAGCCTTTTGACTGCTCCACGAACTCGAGAATCTTTTGAGAAAACAAGGAGGATATGAGAAACCCTACTTCAAGAAAAACAGAAAGTAGAGACCAACAGGAGATCTTCAGAGGTTACCTTGGTAGAAAGATTATCTGGTCTAGGTTGCTTATTTAAGTGAGCAGTTATGAGTCCTGCATAGCAGAACTGGTTCAAACCAACACCAGCAGCAGTCATATCTCTAACTATCGCATACCTAACCATTATTTGAAGTCAGATATGAAAGAAAAATTAGATCACTTCTTAAATTGCGCATAACTTACATTAACGGAGAAAAGAAGCACAAAAACGTATTTAAAGGAAATCAATTCCATTTGTGACCTACACAAGATCTAATTGGCCAGAAACAGCGCAGGCATTGAGCAGGCAAACAAAGGTCTGTCCATTTGGTTTTACTTCATATCTCTTCATCTCGTCGTACACCTTACAATAAGAGACAAACCAAAAGGGTTCGTATGTGAATGAAGATTAAGGAGTGTAAAGAAGAAAAAATGTCTGCTACTAAAGCAAATGGAAGATAACATTACTCGTATCGCCTCCTTTCCATTCTTGCATTTACCACAGGTGGAAATTAAAAAGTTGTACAAGTTCACCTACAAGAATGAACACACGATCAACAACACAAGCCACCGATGAAGCGACTCATACTATAAAGCCAAAATCTCTAAAACAAACAAGAAGAGTTTATTTCATGTAAGAGCAAAAAAAAAAAGGGAAAGATCACAGGACATACATCTGGAGCAATTCCCATGGCCTTCATCTCTTCACGGAAAAAGAAAGCATCATTTAACCGAGCACCCTTCATCACTCCCACAACAAATGAATGGAAAATATCAGCTGTAGGTTGCACACCATCTAGCTTCATATCGTCATAAACATCCCTCAACAGATAGTGCCTACCGAACAGAAAATATATACATACACAAGGATTAATGAAGTAATCATGCAAACACAAACACAAGTATCCATTATTATAGCAACAAAAACATCACATTTATATTGGATATTTCTGTATTATGAACACCGGGAAGCTATTAAATAAAAACCTGCGCTGAGCTGTGACGGAGTTGACAGCTGTGTTGTATTCCGACAGGTCGTTGGCGTAATTTCTCTTTGCGAGTTCCTCCGGCGATGAAGCGAAGTAACGCCGACTAACCAGAGCTCGAACCAAAGATCGATTCCTCCCTAATTCCGCAAGATCAAAATATCAAACGTAAGTATTCGTGCGCGATATGTGATGCGTAACTAAGAAATGACGAACGCGCACTCGATCGAACCCAAAATGTAGTGATGAAGAAAGATCAGATAGTTGACACTTGACAGATGAAAATGAGATCTATCTGGTTAGCCACAAGGAGAAATGCATACGACTATGAAAATCGGTAATGTCTATAGCAGCGTACCAGAAATGGATCGAATGAGAAACGTCATAGCTCACAAGCAATCCTTACTTCCGCTAGCAACCAAATTCAAGCTTTTCCGGCGAAGCTCCGTGAGTCTCACAGACCACGAGATAAGAGGAAAGCTGTTTAATCGAGTTCCGCCGTCGGTAAAGAGATATACAGCTCAGGCCTCAGGGTTTAGGGATTAAACATAAACCGGAAAATATAACCGGGTATCAACCGGTTTGTTTCTAAAGCCTAGTAGAGTCAATGCGGACTTTACATGGGCCTCTTAATGAGTTATTGGACTTAATCTGCGGACCGGTTGACGATGATCACGTGGCTGTTGCGTGATCATATCTACTGCGATGATTCTGCCACGTGTACCACAGAGCGAAGAAGAGTGATATTTACGCTTGGGACCTCCCAACTGTATATCTTAACCTGTCGGAAGATCACGTGAAGACAACTAATATAGGTTCATGCGATAAGTGAAAATTATTGACCAAGAAAAAACCTTTATTTAATCAAAGCTCGTGACATTCGAAATAACTCTGTTGATAACGAATTTCAAAAATTTATTTCATCAAGTGTCGTGAAATTCCAGAAAGAGTAACTTTTGTATAACGAATTTCAGAGACACTTTCCCCTAAATGCTTCTAGGATTTTCTAGTTACATAAGATATGCTAGTTTACTCCCCGTGACTTTAAAACGGTGGTTCATATTCAAACATCAACTAACTATATAAAGTTCTAGATACAACGTTAAATAATCTCTAACTAAAGTATTACTTTGTTGGGGAACAAACATTTTTTACATCTGTTCCACAATTCAAATCCTAATCCTAGAAACACAGAGTTTTGTAATCTTGGATAATTTGGGTATACACTTTTTTCTGAATCTTCAAGAATCATGATTGACAAGGCATATGTAAGGAAAAAAAAAAGAACAACCAAAACAGAATTGAACAACCATATCTTTAATACTTTGTAAGGAATAAATATAATTATTAAAAATGAAAAATATGAAATTCAAGAACATCCTCGTACTCTCGTACATGTAATACCATTTGTAAATAGTGGACAGCTTATCTCTAACAAAGTACCTTTGTGCTCGTGAAGCATTAAATATATTATAATTTTAACAACTTTATCTTATTTTTAGCTATAAAACTTGTATATGTATTTCATATATTTATATAAGTTACTTTAATGCTTTTGTATCTCAGTACCAACAAAAAATTGGGAAAAAGGATCATGAGAAAAGTACAGACTGATCAAGATTATTTTGTTGTTTGCAAGTAGACAAGATGTTGACAAAAAAAAAAGTCTCTCGTAATAATTGCGTTAGCCGAAATTGACATTGTACTTAATTGATTACGTGTTGGTGAGTAAATAAACGTCTGGTTAAATGTTAGAGCTAATTAACAAACCAAATCAAGAATTATGATTTGGCACGATTCCATCTCCTGGAGGCCCACGACCCACAGATTCAAACACAGAATTTGATTTCTTTTCGTCACGTCATAAGTAAAGAATATTGTTAAAATTCAACCAATTCAACGTTAGGTGAGATCAACACACAATCTATTAATGGATTTGGTTGAGTTTCTGGGTTTTCATCGGAAAATTCAAAACTTTTTTTCCATTTCTTTGTACATATAGAGCCTAACCACAACAAGATTACGACCATAGAAGAAGAAGAAGAAGAAGAAGAAGAAGAAGAAGAAGAAGCTTAAGCTCAAGGAGAGAGATAGACAGAGACTGTGCAAATGGTAAGAAGGGAGATTACAGATCACGTCTACACATTGGACAAGATCCGTGCCTGAGTAGCCAATTGTCTATGCAAGGCAAGTGAAACATGTGATGACAATGTGGCAAGCTTCTTACCGTTTCACCAAGCTGAAAATCCTGCAAAATTACACAGAACAAGAAATTAAAACCTTTTGTGTTCCGATCCGCGAATCTGCGGTTTTCACAAGAGATAAAAGCAACAAAAAAAAACCTGAAGACAAACAGAACAGGAGTCTTTGTTGCCAGAAGCATCTAAGTTGTTTTTGCCAGTGATTTTGATTTTTGGTATTTTATCAACCAAGTCTCCTGTTAATCCTTTTGAACCACCGGTATCAAAGATGCTCGAGAGCTCATCGAAAGTCGTATCTACAGCTCCCATCTGATCAGCGAGAAGAGAGATGAATCAGATCACGAAAATGAAGAGAGATCTCGTTGCGGAAATGGAACAAAATACTGCATATCCATGTACCTGACTTTGAACCGCGCTTAGCATTGCCGGACCTATGCGTTCACGCACAAGTCTGCCGCTTATTAGACTAACAATGACATCAATCTACACCAAAAATTAACCAGAGACAAGAATCAATATTGAAGCTTGAGTAGAATCGAAACCCGGATTTTTGGATTACGCTGCTTGAAAACAGAGCAAAAAGAGAAGATCAAAAAGGCTAAATGACCATAGCCTACCAAGTAGAGGAGGCAACCGAAACGTGACTCGTTAGATTTCCAGAGAACAAGAGATGATTCGAAGACTTCGATCGAGAAAACAGCTCCTGAAATGGCTCCAACCGCCGCTCCTCGAATGAAACCACTCTCTGTTTCTTGGCCTATCAAAGCACCTGTAAGTGCCCCAAGCAATGTGCCAACTGAAGAAGAGAAAGGAAACAACTTTCTTAGCTTTACATAAACCCCAAGTTGCAGACTTTATGCCAATCACCCGAATCACAGATAAACAAGGACTAGAAATGATCACACCCCAACCCAAAAGAAAGATACTTTAACTAGACAATCTTCATCAAATTTTGGGTTTAGATTGGGATGCAAATACGAATTAGAGCAAGTTTCAAATGCCGGTGGAGACATTTTAAAACAGAATCAAGAAACTCATAGGGAACGAGAGAGGCCGACCTAGAGCGAAGAAGAAGGTTAAGATCGCCGAGAGAATCGTGCCCAGAACAGCGGAGACGAGGAAACGACATGCGTCTTTGATCCGTTCGACGAAATTACCGAGAAAGGGACACGGCGAGGGAGGGCAAAACCCAGATTGGAATCTATAAGATGCCATTTCTCGTTCAGAACCCCAGAGATCAAGCGTATTGAGTATAAGAAAAAGAGACCTGAAACAATCTCCAGAGAGGGAGAAAACAGAGTAGTGGAGCTTTTTTTATTCAAGAGAGGAAGAGAGTCGAGAAAGAAGATAGAAGAAGAAAGAGGAGAGGAATGGGTTTTTGCTTAGACCTTAAGATTTAGAGAGAAGATCCGATGTGTGGCCTACTTGCAATTAACGCTTGGGTCCTCATTTGCTTGAAATTTAACCTCAAGTAGGTGAAGTAAAAGTCTAGGGTTTGCTGGTCATGATCGATAGATGTTGAAATCTTGGCCAGAAAAATCTCTCATTTAGTCATTTTCAAAGCACGAGAGAAGAAAGAAGAGAGATGTGAAAGTGAAAGAGATAAGCGCGCAAGCTCAGCGTAAAAAGAAGAAAAAATTAATTAATTAAATACTTAAATAACTTCTTCTAATAATACTAATAGACAAAGAGAAATCTTGCAAAATTTGAAACTCAAAACAATTTTTAATTAGCAATTTTATTACCAAATTAGAAAATAGTACAGACTTATATATCGATTTACTGTTCTCTTTATTTTTATCTTCTTAAAACATAATATATATACAATGTAGTTTGATTATACTACTCCTAACTTCCTAAGAGCATCTCCAATGTATTCCCCTATTTTTGTCTCCAAAATGGGGGAACTGCAAAATAGAGTTGGATTTCTCTTTAATATATTCCTCCATTTTCAACTCCAAAAAGAATATTCTGAGTATATTCTTTATTTTTATTTTATTGTTAATTACTAATAATGCACTCTATTTATAAAAATTACAAATGAATTCATTTATTTGTTTTCCTCTTAAAATTTTTATAAATTATAATATTATTCTAAATTCAACCACTATAATATAAAAATAACATTACATACCATTTAAAATAAGAAAACAAAGTATATTTTAATTTAAATATCACCATTTTAATTTAAATATCACCAAGTGGCATAAAAAAACTAAAATGAAAAGAAAAATCGATGATGGAACATCAGCTGTTATCAACTCAGCAAAATCCGCCTCAATCTGGTTCATGTGGACAATATTTTATTGATCTTGGTGGATCTGGAAGCAGTTTGCCAGATTTTTATTAATCAGTTGTTGTAATAAATTTATTTTATGTTATTTGTAATTTCAGTATTTCTTATGTATTTTTAATTTTATATTATTTCGAGTTTCAGTTAATTTTCTTATATTTTTTATTTTTTATTCTCAAATTTTAAATCTATCTATCTTTAATTTTAAATTAAATATATATAATATAAAATATTAAATTATAATTTAAAAATATAGTTTTAAGAATTAATAAAAAGTAAAGGACAAAAACCTTTAAAATACTTCAAATATATAACATTTGCTAAAAAAAATACCTGAACTATTTTCACTCCCCAAAAAATATCCAATGTATTATAAGTGTCAATTTAATACCTAAACATTTAAAAAATGCAAGTTTCAAACTCTGATTTTTATTCTGTTATCCCGTTAACGGAAACTTTAAAATAGCGTTAAAATTTAAACACCACATGTATATATTATATATGAAAAGACCAGTTTTACCCCTAAATCTTTTTCTTCCCAAAATGAAGAATCCTAATTTTCTCCTTCCCTTCGTGATGACCCATTTTGCTTATTCCCATTAAATGCATCGTTATTCTTGCAATCTCCCTTCGATTGACAGTGAGAAACGATGAGGAACTGAGCAAATTGTTTGGTGATGTGACCATTCCCAATGGGGGTGTGAGGCCGAACATCCACAATCTTCTTCTTCCCAAGATAGCTGATGCTGCATCTAAACTAGAGACGGCGATGAGAATCAATTCTGTGTTGTGGGTTTGTAGCTAATTAAATGTATAGCTTGATTTAGATGAAGATTATCTCTCTCTTTTTTTCTTGACGATATAGAGTCTCTTTGTTTCAAACTAAATTTTGAGATATTAATGTATGTATGTTATTGTTTGATTCTGAATGCTTACACTATTTTTTGTGCCACTGATTCGAACCTAATTTTTCCGAATGTCCTCTAGTTCGTCTTCTATTCTCAAATGGTAGTCAAAGAGAAGAAAGAGAAATTAGGGTTCTTCATTTGGGGGAAAATTAATTTAAGGGTAACAATGGTTTTTCACATATAACATATATATGTGGTGTTAAAATTTAAACGCTGTTTTAGAGTTTTCGTCTAACGGGATAACGGAATCAAAATCGGGGCGTGAAACTTGCAATTTTTAAGTGTTTGGATATTAAACTGACATTCTATAATAAGTTGGGTATTTTTTGGAGAACGAAAAAGTTTAAGTATTTTTTAGCAAATGTTATATAATTGAAGTGTTTTTAAAGTTTTTTCTTTTAGAAGTAAAAGATTATGTTGTAAATAAAAAATTTCACATGCAAAATGGAGTTGAAAATGAGGTTCCTTCATATTTGGAGAAAAAAATGGCATTCATTCATTTTACAGGTGAAAATATAGGGTTGGAGAAAAATTTCCTCCAAAATAACATTTAGAGAAAAAAATAAGGTAGGATTGGAGATGTCTAAGTAGTCTAAAGTGTGTAAAATATATAAATTAATGTTTATTGACATAGTAAAGTGTGTCATTTTGTCCAAAAGCTCCTTGGCACCTGATGCCATATAAAATGCTCTACAAGACAATAATTACTCGTTAGTTTTTTTTTTTTTGGTGACTAAGCAATTACTCGTTAGCTTAGTTATACTTCTTTTCAGTTAACATGCGAACAAAATGAAAAAAAAGACTTTAATTGAGGCAAAAAACATACCATTAAATAGTAGAGCGCAATTAAATCGGGTCAAAGTGGTTGTTAGCATTAACTCTACAGTACAATTCTTGTATTACAATGCTTATAAGAATGCGACATATTATTTAGAATAGAAAATTATTCGGAAGATATTTACCAAAATACGGTAGGGTCCTTTCCGTCGTTGCCGATCTTACAAGCAATCAAGAAACCCTTAGATACGAAACAGAAATAATTTTCTACATTATATGTAAATTGTTTGAGAAAACTTAAATATCTTATTTGATTCTGCCTTTCCTTTTATGGGAAGTCTTCCTGTGTGAGCAATAGTTTATTGTTATACCAAACAAAAATGGGTCCGGTAAGACTTGTTAATTGTTATTATACGTGCGAGAAGTTAGCTTAGGTTTATGAGCGTAGATTCCATATACTTGATAGCCTACATACGCGTATTTATTAGCGTTCGTAACAGAATTCTGAAACAAATTGAAAAATTTCCTCTCTTACAGTTTCCCTGAATAATAAATAAATAACAGGTCTGAAACAACGAATTGATAATTTGATACATACATACATGTGGCATCATTTTGATTACAAAACATACCACTAAAATGATGATACTTATTCTTGGACCTACTCAAAATGGATATAAAAACAATCTTGACTCTTGAGTACCCAAATATAGATCAAATTTAATATTTCCCACAATTTGTAACTACTTTTCATATACAAAAAAATTATAAAATGAGATACAAGTAAAAAAAATTATTTTATTTATGTTATTCGGGTTCAGATTTAGTGGAGACAAAACGATAACGATATAACATACCATTAGTTTTTCACGTTATGGTTGTAAAAAAGTTGGTTTTAGTTAGTATTCGTTCTTATACCATATTTGAAGATTATAAATAAAAACATTTATCGCGCGCTATTGTTTCAAAATTTGGACTTTAAAAGATTTAAAACAAACTCTAGTTAAAGATTAGAAACCACTGTTTGCAGATATTGTATTCCACAAAACTTACAAATAACTTATCGCAATTAGTCGTCGGTAACAACTAGATTCATATATATTATGATATTTTCTGTCTCTTCCATGCATAAGAGTAAAACATTAAATACACCTAAGTTAATGAATTTATATGTCAGGAGATGGGCATAGATCATAAAATTGTATTTATTTTTGACTGAAGTTATCAGATAAAGGTTGCCGCTTGCTACTCCATCATTTCCTATATTATTATGTGACTGCCATTTAATAGCCACAGCATGGGCCAGTGGTCCAGAAGCTGGTCCCATGAGTATCGCAGTGATCAAATTCATATTTAAGCATATGCATGAGCAGGGCTGCATGAGATACATGATGGTTGATGGTTGCGTCTCATATAAGTATCTTGAATTGTTAGTTTTAATACTGAGAGTGCCAGAGTGGCTTCTATATATATGTCTTGAACTTGCCGATTTGTTTTACTTATAATATATTTTATCGTATCACTAATACTTCTGATAAACTACACTGATCTCCTGCATATATGTAAACATTTTATAGAGGGTTAATTTCTATTGAATCTAACAACGAAAAACAGTTTTTTACGACCACTGGTTATATTTGAGATTGAGAGGGTGTGAAATTGCTAGTACATGAAAAAGAAAGAAAGAAAAAAGGCTAAAATAAACAAAGAATATGATTGGTAGGTTATCTACATGGTGACCCTCGTCACGACTCACGTTTTACCGGTGCGTCTTTGTATTGACGTGAATGATAATTTACCCTGGCCATCACTTGCATATCTACTCCTTACTTTATTTCTATGCAATCATCATCAACCCAAAACTCCGTAAATCTAAGATATACTTATATATGGTTTTGTCCATATCAATCAAACAAGGGAGACGAAAACTGAAAGAAAGAACAACAGTACATAGTATACAAAGAAGGTGAGTCTCTTTCAAGTCCGGTAAAGAAAAGTAACCAACCAATTACACAAAGATATTCGAAGTAAACACGTGAAGCTCCACGATTTGTATGAAAAAATAGATGTGTAACCGTGAGCTAAAAATGTAGAATAGTCGAGATTTTTTCTTATTTGAGTTTCGGTTGTTCAATTGGTTGGGTTGGGTACGCTTTCATTTTATGCGGCCGAGGAAATGTTTGCATTTTACTTCCTTTCATTTTTCAGTTAGAGGACAAGTACAATTTATATAAAATCACTAAAACGACGACGTAATATTAATTAAGCCGGACTAGGCCCAACGGATTAACAACAAAGATGGGTTGGGCCCAAATTTACAAGACCATAACATTCGAGTGGAGCGGCTCATATTAATTTCCTTTTTGGTTGTCATATTTATTGTCACAAAATCTGTGGTTGAAGGTGGTGGTGAATTGGTGATGAATTGGATTATTGATCAATTTATTAGTGGTGGGAAAAGAAACCGAACCGAACTAAACCAACCGAACCAATCGAACTTAAACCAAACTAAACCGATCCATTTTTAATATATAACCCATTTGGTTGAAGTTTTTCACAACCCGAACGGTT